AATTTGTCCATCATCTCTGCTTCACCACAATGCTGCTCCTGTCTTTTCTTATTAATCAACTTTTCTGACCAATTTTCTTTCCTCGAGTCAATCACAGTGATTGTTGTTCTTCAAATATGATTACCATCCTGCCCTGCTCACCTATTCTTGCTAAATTCAGAACCTTTAAAACATCATAACTGGCACTACACTGATTTACAAGACTTGGCAAAATGTTTCTAATAAGTTTCTAATAAAGATGCTTCATATTCATCAAATCTGCCCTGTTTTCTCTTGAATATATTTATTTGATTCAAGGTCTTATTTTAGAAACTTTGGTGCATTGTGACTTTGATGAACTCAGATAAACCAGCAGGTACACTCGAAGTAAGCACATTCAAAGCCCTAGTGAGGAGTTTAGCTGGTTATGAGTAAGGTTGGGTATTGTTTTATTTTGAACGATTCTGATTCCACATTTCGCTTCTGGTTCCGATCGATTCTCTATTCCGATTCTTGTAAAAGGCACGATATTTTTTAAAATAATGCATGTTTTAAATCAGGGTGCTAATTGGAGTCCTTCATTTTGGATGAAATTTCTGAACTGCTCCATGATTTTTTAAATTATATTAACTTTTTAAGAACTTTACTATGAATTTCTCACAGGGCTATTTTCAACCAGTATATAAATATCATTTTTTGTTGTCAGGTTGTTTGTCTATGAAAAAGTACAAGGGCTAACTTTAGTTGGATATTTATGTTGGCCCACCGTACACAGTACAATTTGTTTGCTGTTTCAAAGTTAGCAGAAGACAAAAGTAATTTATTGTTTCACTTATCTGATTCTGGCTGGTTAGCAGAAGACCGGTGAAGCGCTTCAAAGATGAGCACTCAGGTATTTCTCCTCCATGAATCCTGAGGTGTTTAATCATGCTGGTCCTTCACCCTCTTTTGCATGATATTGCTGTGATCAGTGGCGGTTCTAGACCAAATTACTCCCCGGGCGAGCACCCCTCCAAGTGCCCCCCCCCCCCCCCCCCCCAGATAGTTTTGTATTACTATGTAGTATTATTATTATTATAACAACAAAAATAAAATATTTCTCAATTGCAGAAATCCTTCAATAGAAAAAAAACACAATTCTGAGGGCCATTTTGAGAAGGGCCCCCAGATCCTGAGGTTTTCTGAAGTGTTGAGGTTTACAAAAAAGCTGCTATCTCGGCCTCTGTAGTAGATAGAAACAAAATTCAAAAAGTATTTGAGAGCTTAAACATGTGGCTTTCAAGAAAGCTCTCTTTTAGTTCTGCGAACCTTCATCACATTTTTGAAAACCTTGAACAAACTCAAATGAAATAAAGCGGCTGTATAAATAAAAGTAAAGGCTCTGCACTGGAGAATGACAAATAATTTGCTTTCTGTAAAACAAGTGGCAGTCATGATAAAGTGTCCATTCAATACAAATGTAAATATAGAAAATAAGGTGTTGAAAGGGTATACAGCTGCCCCAGTATAGTGCCAGTACAAAAGCAGAACTAAAAACTAAATAATGAATAAATAAATACGTGGCTGACAGTGTGTTCATCTCTGTTCTCACCCAAAGTCATGCAACACAGAGAAAACGCTGATAGTGTGAGCCAAAGCACTCCATAAGAAGAGGTTGTTCACACTGCTGGATGTTTCTCCTCTGAAGCTGCTCTCTGCCTCCATCGTTGTTTACTTCACTCATGAAGCTCATCAAGCACGTAGCAAGATCCGAGCATGAACCCGAGCGCTTTATTCGCCTATCAAAGGCAGACGGGTACGGTGATTTCATTCACCGCGACTCCAGAAATGATTACAAAACTACAAAATGACGTATCCGCGCTCCCGCTGATATGCTGACATGCGTACACAGAGCAGAGCTGTCCCCCCGCGACTCTCTCCCCGCCTCGTCTCACACAGTCTGTCAGCCTCTCTGCAGCACCTTCGGAGCAAACAGGGGCGCCTACAGCAGCGGGGGGGGGGGGGGGGGGGCGCCAATTTGACAACAAGAGTTAATACAAAACCGCTTTGCGGTTAAGATTTATTATTATTATCTTTTATTTTATTTTTTTGGAAGTGCTCGTGCTGCCCCCCATGAGTCATGACACAAATGCCGCCCCGGGCGGCTGCCCTGTTCGCCCGTGCCTAGAACCGCTATTGGCTGTGATGCTAATGTTGCACTGAGATAAGAGTTCATTCTTCTTGCTAAACTTTTGACCGCAGCCACTGTGGGTTGCAATGTACTCTCTCTCTCTCTCTCTCTCTTTATCTGTCTCTCGTCTCTCTCTGTGTGGCTTCGTCTCATACACTTCGTCCTTGTTGGTGTTTGGCGGCTTCTTCTTCGTTGGTGTTTTTAGCGGCGTCTTCCTCGTTGGTGTTCGGCGGCTATTTCTTCCGGTCGGCGGAGTAGTGTTGTGTCGTTCGCGAACGATTCGTTCAAAAGAACCGAATCTTTTAAGTGAACGTACTGATTCGAATCACTTCCTTGAGTGATTCGTTCGTTTCTCACTTCAGCTGAGCTGAAGGGAGAAACAACATTGCCAGGCCAGCAGCCGGCAAACGAGGGACCATACGCACTGACGCCTGAATCACTTGGTGGATGAATCAGGCATTGAACTACACTCGATGCCCAGCCCTAGTTATGAGTCAGACTTAGATTAATACTGGTACTCCTATATGATCTATAAATGTAAACCAGACTATCAGCTGAAAGATTGATTAAATCAGTGATTATGTTCAATGCCTGCACTGCTGCAAGGTAAATAGAAGACAGGACGACTCCAGCACTCTGACAAAACTGTCTTCTTTTTAAATTTACATAACAGATTCATGGTAAGTGGTAGCTCAAATGTTTAAAGGTGCAGTGTGTAGAATTTAGCAGCAATTAGCAGAACAGACTTCATAGGAATGTATAATACTAATAAGTATATGTAAATTAATGTATAACCAATTTGATGCAAGAATGCCTTTAATATCTGCATAATGAGCAGGTTCCCTTCCAAGGCCATCATCAACAAGTGAGGACCATGCATGTTTTTGTATGTAGTTGGTGGAAGCAAGTAATGCACCTGTTAGGAAAGATAAAAAGAGCGTGGATGTTGTTGTGCTCACAAGAATATGTAATTATATGTGTTTTTATGGTTAAAAAAAAAACAAAAAACTGACAAACGGAGGATCATACTTACCATACACCAAAAAGAGTTTTTTTTCCTTGAAAGGCCACCATCGCTTTGTGGCTATCACTCAATATCACCATTTCTACACCCTGAACTTTTAAAGGAAAGCATTAGGAGGTTGTTTGTTTTCTTTCTTTTTTTTTTTGCAGTAAAACATGACTAAGACATGACTACAAGATGTAGGGGATGCTAACTTTGGCACAAACCAAATGTTTTTCACAGAAGTTTCAAAGCGTTTTGCAACATCATTGTTGCAATCTGAGGGTTTGATGGAGCCAAAACAGCCTGTGAAGCCCTCAACTTTTGTCCTCTGAGATCCAGTCTCAGATATAATGCACACTGAAAAACAAATTCTGTCATCTTCAAAACCCTGTTCATAAATGTTTACCTCCAGTAAAGAGGATGTTGATGACTCTGCACTTTCTAACAATGCATAATCCTTACTTTGTGACCCTTTTAACTCCGTGCTGGACCATTTACCTCCAATTGTTTTAATTTATGCCTGAGTTTGAAATCCCTGTTGAACAGTTTGGGGCCCGAGTGGTGTAAGCAATAACATGAATAATCCATTGGCAGTTCCTGTTTGGACTGACAGAGAGTGAGACCCTCCTCGCTGTTACACTCAGAGAGAGAAATCTGGCAGTATCAGCATTCGCCTTTTCCCCGAGAAAAGTAAATATGCTCTTCATATTGGAGTTGTAAACACCACTCTTACTGAGGGTTGTGCTAGAAGGTAATCAATAATAACAGTTCTCTGTAAATGTAGATCACCTCATAGGAGAATTATATTGACTGAGAGCAAACTGAAATATGCACTTGCTTAACCTCGTAAAGACTTGAGTAGACTGGAAGAGAAATAATACAGGCTTGTATCACTGAGGGCTCCATTAAAATATGAACCAAAGCCAACTTATAGTTTTCTTATAGCCTGTAGCAAATCATCCAACACTGAGTGGGAGTAATCTGAGCGAGGGTTTGGAGTGATCTACCGCTTTAACTCGAACTTTTTCTTATGAAATCAAGAAAAATCCTCAACTTTTATTGCTCATTGGCTATAGCTCTACACACTTATTAACTGCCTGCCATGCAGACCCCGCAGAACTACTGCTGTGCTGAGTTTCAACTTCTTCGACATCATTAGCTTGAAAAAGGGATTATTCCCTCTTAGAATAGTGTTTCCCTCTCCCTCACTACACTATATAACTTCTCAGCAAGAAAAATGAATACATCTGACAGTGTCGAAGAAAAGAGGGCGCTTTAAATTCATCATGCAGATCTGTTGCCTATTCCAGACACGCCTGTCAATCTGCTTCTGAAATGAAGAGCCAGAGGCGAGTGACCCAGACACATCAGCTCTTTTTTTTGGGCATCTAACAACACTTTATGAAGTCTTCACACTCACACATTAATATTCCTTTTTTTTTAGCCTGCTGCTGCCTTCTAGGACATAGCTCCAGCTTGGCCTTTGTGTGAAGTGAGTGGGCAACAACTACAGTTATGCAAAGTGGTTGTGATAGCTGGAGCCAAATACTTAATAAGAATATAAAATGAGATGTAGTACCGAGAAGGAGAGCACTCCAAATGAAACCTTGAAAGAACTACAGTCAAATCATCTCAAATACCAGAATTAAATCTGACACTATGCACTCACTTAATGAGGTAATATTTTTGGAGTTTTCCATTAACTTTAAAAGGAAACAGGATATTCCATTGCATACTTTACAACCATGTCACACTCAATAAAGCTCTAAGTTCAATTCAGCAGTATTTCAGGCATACACATTTCAAAGTCAAATGTTTTGACATATTCCTACACGGACACAAATATAAATGCTTTTTCATAAAATATTTATTCCCATTTATTTTGTATACATCTGAATGTCAATGCTGGCTTTTCGGTTATTGGTTTAACAGATGTGATTCTGTGTTGTTACAATCCTCAATTTCAAAAGTGCACATTTTTTTTATAAACCTTTCTGAGAGCAGATTTTACGACTGAAAACCCACTGCTCTCTTTGACTTTGTTCCAGTTATAGGAAAGTTTTCATACTAGCTACATTACATTAAATGACTTTATGGTAATAAAATACACAGTAAACAATGATTCAACAAGTCCCAAACCTGAGTAAATGAAATGACAGCCTTAGGTTTTAATATGAAAGAAGACATTAAAAAAAGTGCTTCTTATCTCACAGATGTCCAACAATCAAACCATGAAGAAAAAACTGATCATTCAAGTGAAGACATTCACCAAGAAGTACCTTAATTATCCCTCTCTCTGATCAGTGATATACTGCATTGACACATACACAAGTACAGAGATCATATGTAAACTTATATTAAAACTCTAATAAAATACTTTCAATAATAAAGCACATTTAGGTACCTAGCTGCAACTCTTTAGTCCCCAAATACAGGAAATAGTTGTACAAATGTATTAATTCTTCAGAGATCATACAATCTTGATTGTCTAGAATACACTAAAGCTCTTTATACACAGATTTAGCCACAGCTCATTAACAAAGACCCACAGTTTTTTGTCTTATACTTTCACTAGTCTGAACCACAGAAGGAGGTGATATACATGTGGCATCTCAGTGTGTGATTTCACATGGCATCACTGAATAACTTAAAAAGAGGCATTTTAGCCTTTCAGCATCAATGTTAACACAGAGACTAGCTGCTTATAGACTAACAGGTCAAATATCTACACCTGTTACACTAAATCTGTAATTTATAATGCACAGAAGTGTCATAGTGGGGCAAAGTTGTTCTGCTGCTGACCTGCTATTAGAAGTAATAACAGAGGTGTGTGTGAAATAAACTGCAATTTAAAGTTAGAGCTGGTAGGGCAGAACATTGCTGTGTGTGTGTGTGTATGTCTGTGTATGTATGAGGAGCTCCTCTTCAAACACTGTAATACACCATGAAATCACAAACTGGGAAACCACATTACGTTGCTGCAGATGTATTGAAGAAGCACATCATTAAACTGGTGCTATTGTTCCGCCTCTGTGACAGCATCAGATTCCAGTTTGATTGGGAAAGGCATGTCCTGATCTGATATTATTGGAAAAAACGTGATATCGGATTATCTCAGATATCAGCACTCCAATACAAGCAGTCCATTCCTGACTTCACTCCACCACCTCTAGCAGCGCCAAAATCCAGCATATGAAGCCCAAGGAATCGTAACAAGTGTGTACTAAGGTACTGACAAAGTAGCAAGGAGTAGGAGTGATGTCGGCCATGTGGCAGTATTTTTAGTCAAAGTCCGAAAAAGACAATGCAGCTGAGTGCAAAACTTGCCAAGCACCAGTTTGTGCCAATATCGGATCAATATCAGTACCGACCAATACTGAAGGCTACAATACTGGTATCGTATCGGAAGTTAAAAAAGTTGTATCGGGGCACCCCTTTATGAAACACCTTTGGCCCACTGGTCCTTTTTTTCAGCTACCAAGTCCAAATTTTCCACCACAAAGAGATAGAATGTGTTGTCTGATTGTGCTTGTTGGACGGATATGAACCAGCTTAAATTAATGACAAAATATACTTATTGACCCTCAGATGGTCCCTCCACAGTTTTGATATGTGTTATGTAAACAGAAGACGTTCAAGTGTTGTCATCTGTTTGTCATCCAGGAGTGTGTTTAATTCTTTTCCTCCAAAGACTGTAGACACTAATCATGGAGTGATTTCTGACTGCTATCCTCTTGTTATCATCTCTGTGTGATGTGTTCTTTTGCAGACATGACGCTTTGTTTCAACCTCTTTGTAAACAGGTGACTGGCTCTTCCACAGTAGGTATTCGTGGTTGTCTTAAGAGTTGCTTCCAGTGGCTGAAGCAGTGTGGTCTCCATGTTCTCTCCAAACTTGTGCTGCAATGAAGAAGAAGAAAAAAAAACAGGCGGGTGATAAAGTGGTGTACTTGGGAATTGAGACACTACATTGTTTATTTACACACTTTCATTTCAGTTTGTTTGTTTTTTTTGCTCCTGACATTACTCAAAAAAAAAAAGATGTAAAATGTGTTTTTACACTTGTTGCCTCCAGTGGCAGCCATCATGGGACAATGAGAGTTGCATTTAAATCACATAAATCAAGTGCCGCATTTGTCACTGTCAGTTCTCTGCAATAACGCTCTACATTTAATACATATCTGTCAATTTAGAGTGTGTTTGGATTATGAATATCTATTACCACAGCTATACAAGAATGGGCTCAGCGAGGCATGACAGCCCTGGTGAATGCTACAGCTGCAGCAGCGCAGATATGCTTCATTACCGTATGCTTTAGTGTTGCCAAGTGAATGACAAAGAAAACTTCCAGCCAGTTAATATGAGAATACAAGGCTTTTGTCACAAACAGTGTCGGGTAGGAGAGGGTTTACTAAACAGCCACTTTGCATATATGTTGTTACAGAACTTATTTGACAGCAAGAATATAAATGTAGAGGGTAATTCACAGGTATGGCAGAAACTACTGAACAGTCTTCTTTTTAAATGTCCCTGTGGCTTAAATTTGCAAAGGCCATCCTATCACTTCACAGCCAGAGAATCCAATTCAGCAACTACTCAACCGACCAGCTCCACAAGCCCAGCCCAACAAACATGTAACTTTTCTAGAATGTAAAACCCTTTGGAAAAGACACTTGCTGCATTTACATGGGCACAGATAATCGGAATGAATGCCCGATCGGGATAAAAATGCATCGTGCAAACATGTAGATCGGAAGATTCTGATCCAATTTGGCTCAAACGGAAAGAAATTGTATTCCGATCAAGTGGGATGGTTTATGCCGATTGTTATACCGAAGCGCCTCCATGTAAACACTTATTCCGATCGTGACTCTCTTACTTGACTCAAGCTTCACTCTTTTTAGCCTTTGGCTTATTTATTGAGGACTGTACACGAGGTTTCATTATTAACACTCTTGCATAAAACACAAACTCAGGTGCCCGTCTGCTCCTCCGGTAACATAACAACGTGTGCATACAGCGTAATGATGTCACATCTGCACACACAGTTCAACCTTTGACAGAACAGTAAAATAAGTAAGCAAGGGCGCCATCTAGTGACAACATTTAACAGGGGGAAAACTCCTGAATTGCATGGAGTGAGCCACTACTGAATTTGTTGGTTTGTTAACAGCACAGGCGTAAATACAACTCTTCTTCTGCGGTTGTTTCAGCAAAATCAAACAACTCTGTGTATGTCCAAATGCTTCTAATATGAGTAAAGCTTGGTGCATGTATACGCACGTTATAATCAGATTATTTGATTTTGCACCCATATAAACAGTGGATTCAGATTATCTGATCCCTTACATTTTTTATTGGATCAAGAAATTTTGCCCATGTCAACATGGCTACAGTGAGTCTCTCCAAAGGTCCTGGCAGTTGTAAATAAACATTCAGAACTATTTTTTCCACGCTGACCATTTTCTTACTGCTTCATGGAATTAAGGAGAAATCACTGGTTAACAGCATCTCATTTGACTCTAGTTTGGGTGAGCATCAAGTTACTCAAGACCCACTATCTTTATTATCTTTCATATACTGCAGCAGGCAATAAAGCACCATTAACAGCCTCCTATCGATTTTTATGTGGATGCTGCTGGTGCGTTGTCCACACAGCCATCATGATGTCTCAAACTAGCATCAGCACTAAAATTTTTACAACTCTTCTGTGGGCTTGGCTGGGTAATGGTAGTGCCCTTTATTGCAAGCTCCTCCGCTGGCTGAGCCTGCCTTGGGAGGCGGGCTGACTAAGGAGCTCTTGGTGGGATGGAAATGAGAGTTTCCTTCAGAATTGCCTGCTCCAGGCTTTAGGATGCTGCTCTCCAAGGACTGAGTGGGAACAGGGTGGGAGGGGGCCTGAGGAGCTGGAGCAACAGGAAGCAGAGATAAAAGCTTCAACAAAGTATAGCAACAAAAGGATGAAAAGCTCTTCAGTCAGACCAGGCTTTTTTTTCTAATGAGCTATTTGTACTACAAAGACCAGAATCTTATATTTATCTCTTTAATACAAGCCACGTTCCAGGCTTACCACTGACAAGCCACAGCACTCCACCAACCTCGGAAATCAGGTAGAGTCTAGCATGCTGCACGTGTGTTTGTGCTGTCTGAGAGACTGATGGAAGCACGAGGGCCGAGTACCCCATAATGAAGCCTGCTCGTTTACCTAATGGCTGAGAACATTGCCCGCACTGATAGTGGCCAGGCCGAGCCCTGTGGCGGTAATGGATGGAGACGAGCTAATGAAGCTTCCCCTGCTCCCTCGATTGCTGCCTACATGTTGACCAGAGTGCTGAAATCAACGAGAGCAGATCGAAGACGAGCAGCCGTCCAGCGGTGAGAGAGCCGTCCAGCTGACTTGCTCGCTCAATGATGTGTGCTGTGTGGAAATTTTTGAGCTCTGAAGATGCTTAATGGCGGTTAGAGTAGATTTCACAGATGTCAGACTTTTTTATTCCAAGATCTGTCTTCATTTTTGAGCTCTAGCGTGTGCTGTCTATACTCTGTGGTGTCATACAAACTTAAATATTCGAGTGTTTTAAAGACAGTATAAACAGAGGGACAGCTCTCACCAGCTGTTCTACCAAAGAAAAAAAAAGGTTTTGCACAACTACAAGAGAGGATATTACATGATATTCCATTTTTCTATTACTGACAACAAATCTATTGAAAAGATTTCAAAGTCAGTCCCATTTACACTAGCTTCTATTGTGACTACTTACAACAGCACCAAGTCTACAATATGCCAAGAAATAGACTCTTTTTTTCACTCTTTTTTTGAGCAATATAACCTAAGAGACAAACTTTACAGCCCAGGAGTTTGAGGAGATAAACAAGTCTTAATCAGAATGGGGAAAAAGACAAAAACATCCTGGAGTCAAGAGCATCAGCTTTCTTTTCGTTTTATCCGAAGGCTGTTATTCTCAGTAGCTTTAATTTAATGCTTCCTTGAGAATCTGTAAATGAGACAGAAGAAGCCAAAACTTCGGTTTTTAAATTAACTTTTATTTTCATCACTCTTTGTCATTGTAGCTCTAACTTCCTGATGAGCTGGATGAGATGATGTAGAGGTCAGTGACTGACCACCCATAGTCAGTTTTGCAATTTACTAAAGCTGTCTGGAGGTAGACAGTCATTTGATCAATCACAGAGACCAACTGTGATTGATTAAATGCATCATCAAACTCCTGTAAAGATGCATGCTGTGATTGGACCTTATGCCTGTTGTAGTGGGGAAAAAATACATCCTCTCCAGCTCAGCAGCAATCTTTTCCCATGTACAGTTTTACAGACGAGGCAGGACAACTTCAGCAGTACTTGCTGCTGAATAGCACAACCCAGGCTCTTCCTCTTAAACAAACTGCAGCAGAAATGCCTCACTACAAGTGTGACAGACTGGCCTGTGTTTAATACAAGTTCTCCCCTTTCGAGCTGCGTATCCCTGGATCGCTACTGTAACTGCTGTAAAACTATTTAAGTGGCTGTGTCTGTGTGTATTCTTGCAATACAGTTAAAGCTGTAGCAGGAGTTCAGCAAACCCCCTGATCTCATTACAATCACTTTCTACCAAGTCTCTCGCAATGTAAGTCTAAAATAGTTCTGCTCATGTTGGCTGCTTTTAATTGACAAAAAGGAGTTGTTGCCCTGCCAACATAAGCATTCCAGTTGGCAACATCTGAAGCAGATACTCACAGGCTAAAGCCTGGTGAGGTTGATTTGTCGGTTCGAGGGAGCTGCGACAGGATGGCAGAAATGTTTAACAGGATATTGATTAAGAACTACTGGATGGAACCATCCATAAAAGAAAAGCAATGGCCTGGAGTGCCTATTGATGATATAATGATTAGTAAACGATCCTACAAGTACTCTGGTCTACCTTTGAGAATACACTCTTTGAAACCAAGACCTCTGGTAAGAAACTATACCAAAGAGAATACACACGTTGTATTCTGGGAGGAAACTTTTGGCTATTGCAGCAAGAGGGACTCCTTGAGTGAAGTGAAGTTTTTTCTTTTTTTTTGTGTGTGTCACCACAGGAACTTAAAGAAATGGCAGATTTCTGGTTAGAAAAGTCGTCCCTACCTTCTGGATGGCTTCGTAGACGGCTCGAAATGCTGGCTGCTTGTCATCATGGTAAACTCCCCTGTTGCCATGGAGAATGAAGACACCTTCTCGTTCAGCGTGTTGACAGTTGCTGCCATAAATACAGTGGTCTGGACGGTAGTTCCACTGGCAGGGGAACACATAAAGGCTTTCTGTAACACAAAAACAGTTGATGAGGATTAAACAGCCACAAGAAAACAATCAAATACTTGATTAATGGTAAACATCAAAAATGTCTTAGAGCCTAGTGTTATACACTACAATAATATTTTTGCTCATAGAGTTTCACAAACCTGGGTTTTGGCTGAATATGATATTCAGAAGATCCTGGTCTCCCCAAGTGATATTGAGTTTATACTTCTGAAGGAGTGGCATCAGGATTTCCTCCCACCTCAGTGCAACTGTGGTCATGTCATTCTAACAAGCAATAAACAGGTTGTTTTGATTATTTTGCATCAGGAAAAGTAGAACTCGCTATTCTTTAAAATCCCAATCCCTTTGCCATCCCTACAGATAAACTCAAAGAAACGGTTCAGTGGCCTCAAAGGTCTGCTCATTGTGATGGTTCAGAAAGAAGTTACAACAGTGACCTCAACTGGTTAATCTTGGTGGTACAGCTACTGTATTTCTGGCACATGTGGATAAAGCACTCATTAGCTGTATGCAATATAAAAGTTTAAAATGACTTGGCAATATATCATCATTCTAATCCATCAATGCAGACTATTCATTCAAACAAATATCTAAAGTTATTTATCTGCAGAGTTTACAGACACTGACTGGGACCACATTACATATGAAACAAAACAAACTACCTTCTTATATAACCAATGAGCACAATCCATATTTTGTATTTTAATGACACAATGGCCTTCTTCATATGCTGCTATTATGGCCAAAATGAAGTTCAGTTTTTCATTTTTTTTATGAAATTACCTGAAAAAACTTCTCCCTGAGGCGTGTCATGTTCATGAGCATGACCCCTGAGTTGATGCCTGTCTTGCCATAATAAGGGTGACGGGCAAAACGGTTGTACCAGCCAATGCGAGGCTCCTCATGCTCTGGAGCCATGGCAGCCAAGTGGCTCGAATTAAACTGAGAAAGGAGGGCCCAAATGTCCTCTACTGGCCGCAGGAAAAGGATATCTGTGTCCACATAGAGCAAAGAATCCACCTCTTTCAAGATCAGCTGGAAAACAGACCGCAAAAAAGTGAGTACTTATGCGCAGCGTTGAATTACTACAGGCTACAAGTATAAAGGATGGCTTTGAACGTACTGGCAGGAAAAGTCTTTGAGACGCACAAGGTTTGAAGAGCTTCTTCCACTCCTTTGCATTCTCCTCGGGGAAAGAAATGGGGTAGACTTTGTAGTTAAACTTGTTCTGAACCATCCTGGGCCAGGAGTCTAACTAAAAGAAAATATACAAACAAAGAGCATCTGGTCATTAAAATATTCACATGCATATACTCCAACAATAGTGTAATGAATAAGCTTTATGTTAAATATCTATGCATGCAAGTTACTGACAGATGGTTTGATTTGCTTGTGCAATAATATAATAAGAATGTGATTTTGTTTGAGCAAAAACTCACAGCACTTCTGAAGCTATCATGCAGATCATCCTCAGCGAAGATGTAGAAGTGCAGGGGCTTTTTGCTGAGAAGAACTGCAGACTTCAACATTGTGAGAGTCTCCTCGAGCCTGGAGCCACAGGCCACCACAGCTAGGTGACTTCTCTCATCCCTGTGTTCCTTGACTGCAGAGCCTGACCTCCCACTAGGGGTCAAAGAACAATTAATACGAACAAAACAATGAGAAACCAGCAAAAATTCTCTGACAACTGCTTAAGAGAACAATGAAATGAAGAAATCCTCAGCTCTGTAGGGTTGGAACCATCAATGGGATTAACAGATTGATGTGAAGCAGGTTAAAAACTCCTTGGAAAGTTTTGACACAGCTAACTTCTCAATAAAAACTCTGTTTAAAAGTCATGATGTTGCAATAAGACATTGCATCAACCAACACTGTCATGACTACAAACTCATGTTGATTTTTGCTGAACAAGTTCTACAACTGTGAATGAAGAAGAAGAAAAACAAGAACAACAAGAAGGAAAAGAACAAGAAGGAGAAAAAGAACAAGCACAACAAGTAGAAATTCATTGATTTCTGAGGGGAAATTCAAGAATGCCTCAAGGGCTGATATCATTCTCTTCACCAGCATTTGGACTTTGCCTTAAAGGCTGCTACCCTGCCCATAACTATATTACTGCATGATGGAATAAAGATGACAAAAGAGTGGATAAGATCTGTGATTTGTTTAGTAGAGCAAAAGTGAATGTAATGTATAAATCAAAGGTTTAAGCTCATGCACAATAACACATTTCCATTAATTTAGCACAGCTGCCATACACAGGATCAAACAAAGACTTTCATAATGAAACTCAAACGGAGAAGTCAGCATGTTTCACAGTCATAGGCTCTGTATTTAAGAAAGACATGTGATACTTGTCAGCTAAGGTCAACTGATTAAAAAAAGAAGTACATTAGTATCTGAATATTAGGATGCACAAAATCAGTCATACCTAAAAGATGAGTCCATAAAGCAGTTCACTCCACAAACATCAGCAGGCAGTCTCCAATATGGACTCCAGTAAGAAACTGACTGTGATTTACACCTGACAGAAATAAAACATGATCTTTTGGATCCTGAGTGTCAAAATGAACTTTCTGGAAATCAGAAAACTGTATGTTTTTGTGTTAAAGCTCCCCTGAACTAGCCCCATGCAGCTAGTTGACAGGTGGTGGTGCTTTTAATCCGGCCAAAAGCTAATGAGGCACAGCACTAAAGTTAATGATGAGTTTAAGTGACATGTGGCAAATAAACAAATCCGTTTGGACAAAAAGACTTTACTACAAGAAAATACAAACATGTATAAAATGTAAATGCAAAACAGTACAAGTGACACAATTAATATGGTTAATATACTGTGAACCAACCAGCCATAACATCATAAGCACCAGGGAAAACTCAATGCAACCCAATACGACAGCTCTTCCCAGTATTATCATTTTCTGAAGCTTTTACAATCTCAGTTTTTTATTATCATTTTTTTTTATGTTGATATGATCAGAGAGGTGATAATTGTTCTTACACTTCATGGTTGAAGCTGAATTGGGTGTTAATGGTGTACTGAAGTGTATTACAATGAAAGGTGGTCCCAGTATCTTTCTTCTCATGTGTTTGGTGATGTAGAGGTGGACAAAATACAACACCTTTAAAATCGACTCACTCTTTTACACCTCCACCTCCGTCTACAACCACAGTAATACAAGGTTCAACCATGTCAACAACAGCTGAAAATGGAGAAACTTCCAGATTGTATAAATTGTGGTAGCGCTGCTGCATTAGACTGCCCAGATGTTAATCATGTCATGGCGATTTATTCAGTAAATACTACATTACATCCTGCCTGGCAGCTACGGGATGACTGCAAGTTTCTACAGGTTAGCTTAGTAGCGTTAGCTTTAGCGGTTCAACTAACGTTGTTAAAGTCACATAATTACTTATTTTACGTTATACTGACGTGAACTACAATTGTAGAAATAAGTAGACGTTCCATAAATATACCGATAAACTCAGTTTTTAAATAAAATTGTGGCCAGAAGACACATTAGCTAGCTACCTGTCAACTCCTCCTTCATGGTCCCGAAGGCCTGTCAGTCCGGGCCTTTTCCTTGGCAGGTGCCCACTATCATGGCTACTCCTTTTGGGTATCCTCCGCTCTGTCAGGTCCCTGCTGCCTCTGTCCTCCAGGGTGGAGGCAAGCTGGTTGAAAACATACAGCAGTGATAAGAAGGCGAAAATCAGGCACAACAAAAATGCGTGACGGTAGCATCGCATTTTCTGTGTTTGAAGTTTTTAACGCTAACTGGACATTTTTGTCGATTTTCTTACTACCGGCATCCGATGTACCAGCAGACTACATATCTGTTTTATAAACCAAGTCAAGACGGTTTGGTTTAATGGGTGTCTACTGTTTTCTGCCCCACCCACTTCTGATACACGTGTATGTTGTTTGATCAACCTGCCTGTGGGCTACTGGGTGAGTAGAAATGACAGCAAGTAAACTTCAAAACACTCAATGCTCAGTGCAGACACCTTACAAAGAAAAAACAAATATATATCAACTCTGTGAGAAGGTGCACAGTTCAGGAAAATGTATTCCACTTAAAGTAAACTTCAGTAAAAGCACTGGACAAATCCCACCAAGACAGACTTTCCTGTAAGAAAGGCCTATCCTTTGGATTCCCTAAATCCGTAACATTTGATGGTACAAAACAAACAAAAAAAAACCTGTAGTACACAGTACTAGTAAAATGTAGTAAAATGTTTCCCTGGTTTGAAAGAAAAACACCTCACTGTTGACCTTAAGACCTTTTTATCTCATGCATTTATGGAGCATAAGTCATGATGGGAAAGGTTACCAGCATGTTCTGAGTAAAAGGCACTAACTACTCTTATTTGGAGCAGATCATTTAAGAGAGTTCCATCAAAGTATTTCTATGATCTGTTTTGATTCAATTGAGAACTTTTCTAAATTGGGAGTACTTTCTAGCCCTCATTTTGTAAGCTTCTGAGAGGAGTTTTGAACTTGTTACGAGATACTTTTTAAAACTGATACCAAAATAAATGAGACAATCAGCATAAAAGTGGACTACCTCTGTGATTTGTGTCTAAAACTGCTGACGGCAGGTGTCAGTCAAACTGATTAATTGCATGCTGCTGAAATAGCCATTTTCTTCCATTTTCCATGGTGAAGACTTCAAGTAGGTGATACATTGGAGTATGAAAATAAAGCAGGGGGAATTTTTTTGTCAGATAAACTACTTCACCTGTTCAAAACGAAAAGAGATGAGTAGTACAGCCTTGTTCATAGAGAGCAAACAGATAAAAAACTTCAGGTTCTTCACAATGGCTTTACACCAAAACATAAAACATAACCACAAAGTGTCTACAACTTATTTTATTTAACATTATTTGACAATATAAACCATTCTATAGATTGAATCATGCTCAACTCTACCAAGTGAAGGAGAAGCATATCATTATTCATATGTTAAAGAGTAAAACAATGATCGGTACCCAATGGCATACAAAGAGACCTGGGAAAAGCCAACAGTGTGATGAATTACTGGAAGTGGAAATAATGCTACAAGTCTTTTCATGAACACAGGATGCCATTAAGTGCAAAAAAATGATAACACAATTCGAAGATAAACTAAAATTGTGAGTTGCCTTCTTCATGTTTACTTTCTTTCATTATTTTCTGTGCAGCAACCATCAAATGGGTGTGATGCTACCATAATACTGAGTTGTTGAAACATATCTCACCACAGCATGTGGCACAGTTCCACCGACATCTGAGACTTGATGCTACAATTCGTCTTTTCATTCCAGCTTGTTAGATCTTTTTGTAACAGTCCTTTGAATTGAGCGTACAGCAAATGTCCTGACTCTTGAATTCTTTCACATCATGAGTAGCGGTGAAAAGTACAACCCCAAAGAGAAATGACTGCTATCTTATTGGCATTTATAGTACTGTTTAAAAAACAAAAACAAACAAACAAAAAAAAAAAACGTGCATGTTGAAGTTTAATCTCTGGTCGAGAGTGCTGGAGAATGATGGGTTGTGCTGACCGGGAGTGTCAAGATTAATGACTCTCTCCATTAATGGACGACGAGCCTTCCCCATGAGGTGAAGAGCATCTGGACACCCCTCGTTCAGTGTTATCAGAGCTTGAGCCGCTTTGACTGTGTTGGTCTGCTGAGGCAGCGCTTGCTGAAGTGGACATGGGTTTGGCTTTTTCTTTAAAGTCTGTGATTATTACGGTCAAGTCTCCGACTGTGACCTCTAGGTGCTGGGCGCTGCTCCGGTCTATGTTTTTTAGCCGGGGCCTGGAGGAGAGACAAGCAAGCAAAACAAGAATATAAGTCAGTGTTGGCAAAGTCCAACAAATTATGAGAATATGAGAAGATATTCCTGAGAAAAGATGGACTTGTTACCTCATCCTTTTGTGACTTTTCTTTTTCAGTGCTGGTTCTTTGTCGGTCTTATCTTTCTCAGATTTGTCTTTCTTTTCCTTTTTGGGATGTGTTGGAGGTGCAAACTGCTGATTTACTTGCTGTGCAACCAGCTGAGAAACAGGACGGGGTTTTCTGAAGAAGACCAAAGAAGCTATTTAGTTGTGGTGCCCATTTATAATACTAAAAGTGTAGTTCAAATGAACATGTAGCTTAAAAACCAACCAAAGGAGAATGGTAAACTGCTCTTATATGTCTAAAGACAATTTAAATTGTACATTTTTCCATTTTAAACACAATTGTGATGTTAGAGAGGAGAGAAACATCCAATTCTACTGGTATAAAATAAACTCCTGAGTTAATATGAGGTGCAGATGTAGATAACAACATCTAAAGTTATAGATATTATGTTATCTAAAAAAAGACTTGTAGATTTTAAAGATGGTGGGGTTTTTTTTGGCAAAGTGTATACCCCTTCATGGCCAATATGAAAAGAGGACATTGCTACAGAAAATAAACATACTGTAATGTTCACAAGGTCAACCCACAACTTCTTATGACAGACCTAAAATGTATGAAGCTATCCTTTCAACCATGTTACTCACTGGCACCACATTTTGCCACCCCTAGTATTGTATGAGTCCAGTCAAATTTGTACTGAGAGCGGTAGATGACAGCAAGAGCTATGTCAGCGCACTGTTCATATAGAGCCTGTCTAAACTTTCCTCCATATTTAATGTTTTTTTGACAGCTTTTGTGATTTCACCAGGCCGTAACCATCTGCTCCTTTTTTCATGAACTAGAAAACAGAGGTTGTTTAACTCTACCGCCTGCATCTTAAAAGTAGAAATCAAATCGTACTTGTTTGCATGAAGAAGTTTTTTCAAGTTTGACTTTCTTCAGAAGCATCAGGGGAAAGTTTCCGGCTGACTTACTTTAAGATTTTGTCAGAGATAAAAGTCTTCAATGACATTTGTATTCCTCTGCAGATCTCGGGTCTGTGAAAGGTCTTTTGGTGACTTCAGCTGAAAAGACCTTCATTGATCCTTTGAGGAATATGCCTCCAGAGACCAATCACATTTAAGTTTTCTAGCCATGAGTTAACTTTTCTTACCTATTTTACTTTAACTCTTATTTCTTTAAAGAAATACCCAGATGTGTTGTTTCAAACCTGTGGTCATTATGGAGACTGTTGGTTGTAGAAGGTGTTTTGATGTGCTCAAATGACAACAAAGATAGTGCTGCCTTTCCCTTTTGGTTTTTATTTATCCAGTAAACATTGAGAATGTTACTCTACACTTTAAACCCAAGTGAAACTCTTTATTTAAGGCTTCTATCAAGGATGAGCAAAACTAACTCTGAAGATACATCAACACCTATTTTTTGACCACCAGTGCTGAAAATGAAAGCTAAAAGGGGAGAGTGGGGTAAGTTGAGTCAAAGGGTAAGTTAAGCCACCCCCTGTTGCTTGGAAATGGTAAAATAAATTGATCATGTGACCAAATATTTAGGAGATGGGCATCAATTCATGGAGTCTGTGAAGGTTAGAAGCACATGGGTGAAGGGGTTAGACATCTATTTCCAAAAAAAAACATTGTTCACTCTTGAAAGTGAATTTAGTCTGTCATAAGTTTTACTAGAATTGTGTTCAGACCAAAAAAGATCATTTTAAATTTGTTTTATCCATCAATTGTGGTATCTATGAGCTACACATCAGGAAAAAAACCTAGCATAAAAGTCCACCATTTTAGTTTAGAGGACTAATAAAGTCATCATAGTAGTTCAGGGGTAAGTTGAACCAGTGGATCAACTGAGAAAGTAAAGGAGTCTGATGAGAGGATCAGAGTTTCAGTTCAGATTGTTGAAATGTGTTACTGTTTCTTTTTAAGAATACAGCTGTGAATGTTCTGAATCACTTAAAGGCATTCTCATGTTAAAGTGACTTTTTACAAAACAGATTTTTAGCGGTTATATTCAATAATAATAACAATAATTATTGTACCAATGAATAGGGTATAATAGATAAAAATACACGTGAATGTGAAGAAGTGACTGTTATTTAGGGAGAGAGAAGGTGAGGGAGGGCTGGAGTGGAGAGCGAGAGGGTTGTGGGGATACAGCTCAACTTACCCCACTCCTATGGTCAACTTAACCCATATACGGGGTAAGTTGACCATAGGAAACCACTTTTTGTTTGGCATGCTATATTATCAAGTCAGTTATGTTTACACTCATTCTGTTAGTTTACAGTTAGTGTGCAGATACAATAGTTAGAGACAAAACTTTGATTGTCTTGATGTAGTGATCTGAAATATGAAAAATGACTCATCTTACCCCACTCTCCCCTTTAATCTCAAATAATCAGCAAATCAAACGTTTGGTTAAAACAACATCTCAAGAATTAAAGGTGATAAATGTCACGTTCGGGAAGTAGTCTTTCATAGGTTATGACTCTGCAGTCAAATTTAGTGTCATAAAGGAGTCAAAGGAAATTTCACACTGACATTTAACAAGGTGGAATCAGAATTTCCACTTAAAGGTGAGTCAAACTACTCGGTTTGAGTGAGAAGGTTGGCTCTCCCTGGGCTCTTTCAGTAACTTGAAAACTAACATAAAATCATTAGAGTCAGTCTTCATAGAGAGGTGATTTATCGCACGGCTGTTGTAATAAATGGGTGTACCTCATCAACCTACAACCTCGTGTCATTTTTATCAGTCACTCCACTCTGCAATAGTTCCTGTTTGGACCATAAAGAGCTCATTACCTCGTTGACGTCCCTTTTCTGACATCACACATCAGACACTTGAACGCCTCCGCGCTGTTCCTGAACGTGCACACGCTACAGTCCCAGAAGCCGTCGTCGGAGGAGGGCTTCAACTGCCGCTTTGGCCTTTAAGACAAAAACAAAACAAAAACACAGTTAAAGCGGCGCCGTTTAAAGGAGCACGGAGGTTTCACAGAAAGCATGCGAGGTGAAAAACTAGCAGAGCGGGGAAGGAGCCGAGTCAGAGGATGTTTAAGGCTGAGGAGTCGAAGGAAAAAGGAGCTCTCAGTGAACACAGACAGTTGCCCCATATTAAAGCAGCAGCCAGCCGCCATGAACAGTTCAGAGGCTCCATCCATTGACCAAGGTTTCTGTTTTCAAACCGGCCGATAGAGTCGAAATTGAGGGAAATGAGCGACACCCTACCTTGTGGGGCTCTTCTTGTCTCCCATTTTAAGAAACTACGACCCGCCGGAATTGGAGAGGATCAATGTTACAGGTGAAAAGACGCATTTAGCTGTTACTCAGCTGTCGTGGAAACTCCTGTCGAAGGACGGTCACGTGACACGAGTTCACCCAATCACATTTAATCTAATCACAACAGAGAGCAATAAATGTGACATAACGCTGATGAAGGGCGCTTTGGAAATTTAACTACATGGAGTGAGATTGACTATGGGATATAGCATGGTGATAATTTACGCAAATGTTGACTCCAACTCCAATGAAATAAATGTAGAAAAATAGCTTTACTGACTTAAAATGTGTAAAAAGTGTTTGGACAAAAAAGTTGCCCTGTGGGAGGACTCTTGTAAGTTTCATAAACAAACCTGTGACATTGAGTACGAATACCTCACTCATTTCTGTTAAACATGACTAAATGTATCTCTTTTATCTTACAGGTAAACTACACTGTTAGCTAATGTTTGTAATAAAGAGCAGAAAATGTTAACTGCAGCTAGTATTGTTAAAATGTGTTCAAAACTAAACGCATTAATCAAGATACCAATAAACAAAAAGTAAGGTTATGCAGTATTTCAGATTCTGCTTGGCATATTTGACAACAGAGGTGATATGTATATAAGTTTATATAAGTGATATGATTAATTGATTCACAAAGTATACCCATTTTTCTACTTAAAAGGATATATTCTTGCCATTGCTTGGATTACCTTTGCTCTTTTTTAAAAAATTGACTTTCTTTATTGGAAGCAATCCCAAAAACAGCAACATGTCAGTACAACCTGACAGAGAAGACTTCCATTCTATCATTTTTCCCAGTTTCTTATCCCTCCCACAATCCCACCCCACTTAAAGGTGAACAGTACTTTGAATCCACTAACATGTAAACAGCACAGAAAACATACCACAAATACATGATTGAGGAAAATGATAAGATAAGCGAGGAAAAAAAGGTAAGAATAATAAATAAATAAATCTTTTTTGAAACCCCGGTTTTTCTGTTAAATTTCAGTGAGTATTTTCGTAGGTATTTGAGAAAAAGTAAGCAGAAAAAGGTTTCGTGAATCGTGGACATTCACAGCAGTCACCACTAGAGGGCGCCCAGAGGACATGTGCGGATACCTTTCGTGAATGTAGAATCTATGGTCGATATACAACAGACATAAGCCATGTATATAATAGCTGTTTATGGTTATTTTAATGTTATACAGAAACAAGAAAAGGGTTTATGTCGTATTATTGCGACTCACACGTAATTTTACTGGAACATTAAAGTGATAACGATTCTACCCTCTATCACCGCGGGGTGGCGATAGAGTTCGTAAAGCTGTGCTCAAGCCCCCATTAGACCCGAGAAGAAGAAGAAAAGGCATCGAAGGCGGTACCACAGCTTGGAAAGGTTTGTTTTGTTTCTTTTTTTTATTATTATTATGCACATGTTCACGTATAGCAACATCTTACGCTGTTAAGCATATTTATAACAATAATCTCTCTAAGCGAGGAATATTTGAACAGCCCGAAGCACTGGAATCGTTGTTTGGTGAGAGGGTTTTTGAAGACTTCTTGCTCCAATATAATGCTAATCAGTAAGCTACCTCTGCTTACAGAGGAATGTATGGGGGTGGAATGGAAGCAGAAGTGTTGAACAGATACGCGTACGTGTGTTAAAAGCTCCTTTTTTAGTGTCTGTTTACCCTAATTTCACTCTTTTCTCCTTCATAGATTTTCTCATATTCTGCAGAGGTGTACTAAGAATTCAATACAGTTCAACAGTAAGTGAAAGCACCAACATTTTTTATGTTTTTTACACAGATGTCAAACAACAACAACAACTGTACTGTAATGACTGAAGCATTTCTCTAAGCATGCGCAGAATTTGGCTTTACTAAGCAAGGCACTCACCTACACTCTTCCAGCAGCTGCTTGTTTGTAGCGAGACCTCAGGCCAGTCCATTTCGGACTACTGCAGGATGACGCAGCTCGAAGAAGAACATTTATGATCATTTCCTTGAAGTAATAATCATCATATTAATCATTTTGCACTGCAGACGTATTAGCTCTTCTGCCGTAGCGTCTCGGTCTGATTGCATTTCCATGAAGAAATTATCATAAATGTTCTTCCTTGAGCTGCGTCACCCCGCAGCAGTCCGTAATGGACCGGCCTGAGGTCCTGCTACAAACAAGCGGCTGCTGGAAGAGAGTAGGTCAGTTGTGTTTAGTCTCTTTGCTAAAGAAATCAGGCAAAGTTAAAAAGATGTTTGGTGGCTAGGACCCTGTATGTACTGTTGATGAAGTTAGGAGCTGTTCTGAGCATTATTTGTGGCTAGAGAGTGGCGTTTTGGTTGAGGTTTGTTTATGGCTCCTCAGACCCCTGTTTATTGCTACCCTGCGTCGTTGCTAAAGTTGGTCAGCAACATTCATCTCTAGAGGGCGTGTCTAACTCAGTGTTACAGTGTGTTTGCCTCTTGATTAATTTTACTCTGGAATATCCTTTTTATTTTTGTATTTTTATATTTGTTTGTTTAGCACAGATTAAAAACAGTGCAAGGAGGGAACGAAGCCGATAGGCGTATACAAAGTTCCACTCCCGTCAGGACAGAGAAAACATAAGGTGCAGACAACTAAGTACATAGACAGGTTACACATGTACAACGATTAGGGAAAGGTCAAACAGATACAAGTTGCCATAAATGATGAGCTATTCTTATCATTTTAGATCATAGCTTCGTTGTTGGTTAAAAAATACCTCATAATGTCACTATAGCACTTATATCACGTCACTTCATAACAACATGGAAATTTATACCTGTATTATTGCGTGTGATATGATATGGCACAGGCCTAGTCCACACACATTCAACAATTATAATCAAGCCTGGTAGGACAGACTGTTATCTTGCAATGAAAACACACATTTCACAAAGTAAGTCCAGTCCAGATATTTTAGATATGCCAAAGCTCTGTCATAATATGATGCAAATTTTCTGTTTTTGGCCACCTTCACAAGCTATAATTTGACAAAGATACTGCTTTATGCTTTTATTTTTCAGTGTCCTTCAGACGTGGTCGACACTCAATAAGAGAGGCATATGAACAGCATTTCCAAGGTGGTAGTGATTCAAGAGAAGTAAGTGAGGATTTTGATCCAAGTATAAAAAATGATAAAAAATGATACGAAAGCACTCGAGTGACTAGAAGAAACTTGTTACTTTTTAGTCCTTGATTTTGTGACTGTGATTTATAAGTTGTTATTTTGTCATAATCAAATTACTTTTCCCTTAATGATTGAACTTAACCATATTGCTGAGGACTTAATACGAACCTTCATCTTCAAATAATTTTCTAATTTCAGGTGACAGTCCATCGAGTTGTCAATATTGTTGAAAAGAGGAACTCAGTGCCCAGACAAGGGTTTGAGTTTGACAGAGGCTTTGATGAAGACCAGTGGTATGACGATTCTCACATGTATGGGGATGACAGAGATTATAATGCTGAATACAATTACCTGCCCAACGATCGGAGATACTTTGACGATAACCCAAACTTTGGCAGTTTTCGCAGAAACTCCTCACCGCCTCGAAATGTGAGAAAAGTTATTGAAGAAAAGTCTGTTTTGTGCTCAAAGAAAACACCTCTTTATCAACATTGTTCATTTAATACACCTCACAGGAAACGGTTATGGTTTGTTGTAACTGTCAATTGTTTGTTTTGTTTTTTTCAGGATGGCCCTTACCCCCAACAGAGTTATGGCAGAGATGATCTGAGGCATCAGTTAGGTTCAAGGTAAAATATGTGCATTACTTACATCTGTATATGTCATGCACAAAGTTGCCACTAGATGACAGCAGAGTTCTGCCTTTGGAAACTACTGGCCGCTAGGAAGATTGACATGCAGTATTACTGAGGAAAGACTGGTTAACCAAAGTCTAGAGGTTGTATATGATTCAGGTTTTTTTATGCTGATTGTTCTTTTCTCTTACAATTCAACCAATATAGTAACAGTTAATATGTCGCTTTTTTGGAAAGATTGTCACTCAGTTAATTACATCTGGGGAACATTTTTCTACTTCTCAGTGATCAATCTGCACTCGAGGTTATCTCAAGAGCTTAACCCCCCTTAGAGCAGCTTCATCCAGCAGTTACAGCTCTTTCATCAACAGACGCTCTCCTCACCCTGCCCACTTAAACATACCAACAGTTTACAGGCCCTGGCTCCCCACTCCAGGAGTCATACCAGGGTAAGAGAGAGGGACAAAGGGCACCAGTGTCTACTCACTCAGCCCCCGTAACCCCACCCCCACCCTCAGTACCCCACCCTGAGAGGAAAAACAGCTGGACCACTCCCTTTTCAGTTTCACACCCTCTCACATCTCAAATATTCCAACCACCATATGTTTTGTTGTGTCTTATTTCTGCATGGCATTGCTTTTTATGTGCTGTATTTGTACCAGAGCAGCCATGTAAGAATAGCCCTGATAACAGCACAGCCATGATGTTCACCAGTTATCACAATCGGCAGAAAATAAGTAGCAGAAGTAATTGGAGCCTCAGGATTATAAACTGAGTAAATTGACAGATGCACAGTTCAGGTTATAAACCTCTCTCTCAATAAAAGGTCAGGGGCTACCTTCCAAAATGAGTTTTCTTATTAATTCAACACCTGTCCAATCAGAAGTTTTGATTTCTAAACCAGGCTGATGCTTTTTTTAAACTTTTTTTTCAGAAAATGAGACAAAAAGAAAAAATACAAATAGTTGTTATTCTTAGATTGTTTGGTCTCTCACATGCTTATTTTGGGCTTCGAGACTCACCCATTTATTCCATTCCTGGGATAGTTTTAATAAGAATGAATATTAGCATAGATACTTCACACAGTTTCGGTTCAGTGTGTAGTTTTCAGCAGCATACAGCGTAACTCTTTGGTAGAATTAAATATTTTATTTCCAAGTGTGATTCCTCCGAATTCATCTGGAATTTCTGATTTTCAACTTGAGGAGGTGACTCACATGAATCATGTTACCTGTAAAGCAGCAAATTTTAAAAGTATGAGGCAGTCAGTCAGCTGTTTAGTGTTAAAAGGAGAATCTCAGAACACAAAGACTGGGCAAGGCGAGTTTATTTATAAAGCTCATTTCAGCAACAAGGAAATTCAAAGTGATCAACACAGAGGAATCATTACAGAGGTCAGAGAGGCATACAGAAAGTAAATATTTAAAACTGTTAAAATAAGCCATTTCGATCACAGTTTCTACAATGAAATGGACTGGTTTAGCTAAATGTTCCTTTTTCTGCGGACTGTACCTTTAAGCGTGGCCCCTTTTAAATATGGGTTAATTATTGGTGAATGTCAGCAGAGAGATATTTGATCCACTTTGTAGAAAGTTTGTTTGTTCCAAAATAAGGTACACATTATTTTTTTTCCATCTGTGGCCTTTTGATCTCACTCGTGTGCCTCATGGATGGCATTTCAGTGTTTGGCAAATGGCAGGCTGAGTCTTGGCTACTTCAAACAGACCAGGAGTCGTAAAAGTTTGAGGCCTTGTTAGACCTGCTCTTTGTTTGAGACGTGACTGGAGTTCAGGCAGAGGTCAGAACAACCAGGTGCCTCTGGGTCATTTTTACCTTCTGGGCCCAAAGGTTGTTGTGTGGACACAAACTCTAAGTCTGGAAACTTGTGAAAACAAGATTCATTGAACAAAGAAGTTTCAGTTCTAGCGTGAGGCCTGTCACATGTTAGATAAGTGGGGGAAATTGGTTGTTACACACATTAGATGTTAGTGTAACAGGTTAAGTAACGGTGCTCTGGGACTTTGGCTCTATGTTGAAGTGCAGCTTTTGAATTTTTACAGGCAAAGAAAAAGTGAAAGAAGACCCGTCTTTAAGTCAACCACTGAAATATTACTGATACCAAACTTTTTAAGATGGATGACAAATCAAATGATCAGGACAGAGCTTTGTTTGTCAATAACAGTCAGTACTTCTTAGTCTAAATTTGAATGATTATATGTTTTTCAGGAACAACAGCAGAGCTCGTCCTTATTTCCGCAACAAAGGGCGAGGATCAGGTCCACCGCAGAGGTCAGTGCTGATCACAGAAGTCAGATCGCCACACTCATATCTGTGTGTTTTAGTAGTAACTGTTTAACAATCCAGTGACACTTTATTATCAAGCTTTTGATTGAAGAATTACATTTTTAATTATGTCTGACAACATTTTCTTGAGAAATTCAATCTAAAAAAAAAAAACAAGGTCCCTCTGGAAAAAAGCCAAAGGTTGTCATATATGCGCTAGTTATATTCAATATTGTATCTGTGATTTTATGCCTGTGTAAATCTTTGCTACAAGAGCAGCACACTTACTTCACTTAATTCAATTGTTTCTGTGCAGCCACTAAAATTTGACTCGCCATCCACCAGCGCAGAATCCTAACATTTGTTAGCCTTAAAATTTATGAAGCTTCATCACTTTCTAACTTTTCTGTCACTGTCATTGTACAGAGATGACCATGGCAACTACAGGAGCTCCCCACCTTCAGGGACAAAACGGGACCGATCTCCTCGAAGGAGGGGAACCGTCCCACCACCAGTCCGCTCTGGATCAAGCAGCAATAGCAAGAGCTTCTCCCCAGACAGGGACAAAAACTACACCCAGAGGCGTAAGTGTTAATTCCTCTGTAGATCCCAAACAGCTCAAGTTAACAGATTTCCAAAACCTATGTTGCATTCTAGCACGGTGATAAGTTGAAAGAAGTGAAGAGAAGAGCTACTAGATAAATGAAATTACATGACATGGCAGGATACTTAGTGGTACAAACCTCCACATCTACTCATCAGTTTAAACTAGTGAACTGTGGTATAGGAGCACGTTTTTTTGTCCATTTAATTTCAGGTGAACAACAAAAAGAAAATATATTTTGTAAATCTCAGCAAGAGGGAAAAAAAGGCTCTCACAGTTGTTACACTTCGTGTGAAAACAAAGAGAGCTTTAGTCGTATTCCATAGAGGCATAGGTGTAATTTTAAAGTCTAAAGGCATTAAGCCATTCCAGGTGAGGCATCTGTTTTCAGAGGTGGTGAGCTATGTGAAGGGTCAAGGTGTGCAGCAACATGTTAAGATGTTAATTACCCTACCACCAAACACACTCTCAGAGGCTGGGAAAAGATACCCTTTGGTTTATTGGAGTCGTTTGGCTTCAGATTCAAAACCTGACCCTTCCTTCAGTCAGAAATGAGTTCATGCACCGACTTAACGATTTCTCCAAAACTGCTTTGGGTCTGTCATTTCACACTCCCTCTTTTGTTACTTTTACGGGCTTTAATTAGCAACACTGAGCTAATAAAGTTTAAGGATAAACCTCAAAAAAAAGTCTCGTCGTAAAGCTATTTGACGCAAGCGTAGTTATTAGTCTGAGGTAAAGCCTCAGTACTTTGATTTCTAAGATGCTTGAAAATATTAATGTGTTGAAAATTTGGCGCCACATTACACCACACTTTGAAGACCCAATAAAACTGAAAACAGTTGTACCTCCCACCTCTGATCCCATCTGGTATAATGATTAGGTCAACTCAGCAAAAATACAGGAGTTTTGGTGAGGGGCCGAACCAGCACACAGAAGCTGTGTCCCATGTCTCTTTCACTATTCTTGATCACTGATGACTTTTATTGGTGAGTGGCATGGGGGCTACTTTCACATGTATGCACCACCTTCACTGCTTTGACGCAAAGGTGTAGAAAGGGGGCTTAACTGGGGGGCATTTATGTTTGTTCAAGCAACCAGACAACAGGAGAGAATACTAATTGGGTAATTATAAAATACTCTTTTGCTCCAGTAACTTTGCTGCCTTTTTATTATTATTCCTTTTACAAGGTCTAAGATCTCTTTGCCGTCCACATCTCATTCTTTTCAGTTGTCTCATTTCTACTTTTTTACTTCTTTGTCACATTTGAGGGTGAATGTATTTTACACAAAGACACATCCCCCAAGCCATTCTTCAGACTTTCCCTGTCCAGTTTTTGAGAGATCTCAGTGTCTCTCTTATCCATCCAAATCCAAATTATAGAACCCAGGTTTGCTGCTTAATATGACATTTAAGTAATGAAGTAGGGCTGGGAGATAAACCGAAAATTTACCTATACCAAAATTTACGACAATAGTCGACATAATTTTGCCCATGTCAATATATTCAGTGTCAAAAAAATAAATAAATAAAAGTTGGTTTTGGATGTGTGTAGGTAGGCTATGGTCTTATGTTCCTTTAAGATGCTGTCCTACATCAGATGCGTGACTCCACCCTAACCAGTCCGTAACAAAGGAGATGGAGGACGGTTTAAAAGTTGTAGCGGCTGTAGCATCGACTGAAGTTAATGAAATTAATGTGTGAGGGGGTGAGCAGCTTGTGGAGTAGTTATCGTCCATTTATCTTTATCGAGGTGAACTGCTCAATATATCGTGATATTGATTTGAGGCCATATCGCCCACCCCTATAACAAAGTAAGTGTGCACCCAGCCTTTGCTCAGACCCTGTGAGGTACTCGAGGGAGCACTACTTGGGGACTTCATAGTCCTGATGAGGGACTCATATGAAGAAGGCTTTACCTTGGCTCCCTCTAATCACAATGGGAGACCTCCTCTGTAAAAACAAGCAGCTTGGCTGTATTTGTTTTCTTTTCTTAGACACACTGGAGCCAACAGAGGACAATATATCAGTTGAGGCACAGCTGAACTCCCAGACCGTTGTTGTGTGGGAGGATACAACAAGGGAATATTAAATAAAACACTCATTTATAAGATTTGTAATTTTCAGTTGCTTTGTAATGTCTTGGTTTGGCGATTGTACACGATGATAAGTCAGAGCGTTTCATCCCTAACAGGGGGAAGTTATTGTTCCTCAGGGTATTTAGAAATATATTATTTGCAGCATATTGCAGATATGAGACAGTTATGAGACAGTGGACTGAGCCAAGGAACACGTCTAGAGGAAGAGAGGGAAATAAATTTCAACAAAGATTTTCACCCACATTCAGTCCAGGACACTAGAGTTAGGCCGGCATGCATCCCTGACCATTTACCCACCAGGATGGTCCCCAGAGATGATTTTATTGTAGCGTTAAATTCAATAAAGGAATTCTGTGGTTGCCCGTATGTATTCTTTATGTCAACCACTTTGAATAGTTTTTTCCCCATCATCTGAACTTTTTATTTCAAACAATTACACAAAGAGGGTTATGTGCATTTCTGCTCACTGGTGCTTACATTTCCATCCATCTGTCATGTTACTGTCTCCGTAGATAAACCCAGTGCACCGACCAGCAGCAGCACTCTTAGCAGCAACACAACGAGCAGAAACCATTCTAGCAACAACATTTCCAGCAGCCTGGAGGAGGAGTCTTCACACAGCCCGGCGTCTACAGTAAGAAATGTTTTGCAAAAAACCAAAATGAACTGAGAGTATTCTACAGCAGCATATAGCCTACTCTACTGTGAGTTGTGAGCACCTTATCGAACAACCTGAACGTGTTTACAAGTCAATTGGAATTTGGTGGTTGCACAAACTCGAAAACTGACTTTTTTTTTACTCTTAAAAATAAAATAGTTCATCCTTACATTCATTGTTTCATAATTAGTCATTTAAACAAAGTTAAGTTTTGAACTGAGATTTCTTAAACTACAAGTCTAAGAGCACATGGAGGCAGCTAAGCCTTGACTCTGGCTGTAGGGACCTTTAAATCAGAGCAACATACTGTATTCTGCACCACATTCCTGTTGACATGCGGCATGTGCAATGACACATGTACGAAAACAAGAACTCAACACCAGTAAGAGAGCAGAGTTGTCTCTATTTGAAACACTTTGAAATCAGAACCAGCCTCTAAACTCGGTGACCCCGGCTCTAACCCCTGACCTTTGACCCCTGCCAGGAAAAAACTCCTGCATCTGCAGCGGAGACGGAGGAGGTGGTGGCTGCCAGCATGGAGCCAGAGCCCACACCAGACGAGGACCTCAAGACTCGCCGTTTGGAGGCCATCAAGGCTAAAGCTCTGGAAATTGAGACGGTAATAAGATTTTCTCCATCAAGACCGAACTTCAGTGACTCTTTGTTACTTAAGCTGATTTTACATTCTATATAAAATCTAAACCTTTGTCTTTAAGTAAGCTTCATCTCACTTGGTCATAAAGGAAATTAAGGGAAAAAACACAATTGAAAGAATGTTTCTCAGTTACCTAAAGTGATGTTTTCTCCATAAACATGGACGCAATTTTCAGCCTTTTATTTCTGCGTAAGTATGGATCCTCCCCCGTGGAGGCTGTCATCATGCTCTGCTGTGTTTCTAGTTTGGCGCAGCCTTATCAGGTCATTCAAAATGCACCAGTTTAAACACAAAGACAAGAGAATGGTGGTTGTGTGCAAAAAAATGATGGATGGATGTTTATGATGGTAAAAAGTAAGGGTGGGAGAAAAAATTGACACAGCAGAGTATCACGATATTTTGTCTGGTGATATATTGTATCGTCTCATTTACCAAGTATCGATTTTTTTCTAATTAATTGCTAATATAAGTCAAATCTACGATAATGGAAAAATAAAATCAGCTGTTTGTCCGGTGAGGTTGGCAGAGGTGAGAAAGCTAGTACAGCAAATATAGCAGCAAATGGGGGAAGACATTAGAAATGCAAACAGGGCATAAAGGAGATGGACCTGACACATAAGGTTTGTGAGATGTGCAACATGAAAATAAAATACTGTGTAAATAATACAAAAATAAAGGAAAGACAAATGCTGAATTAGGTAAACAGTTGAAAAATTGTTTAGATCACAATATATTGTATCGCAATACTCACTGTATTGCAAAATGTTTAAAATCGCAATAATATCTTATCGTGGCTCAAGTATCGTGATAATATCTTATTGTGGGGTCACTGGTGATTCCAACCCCTGGTAAAAAGTTGACCAACTGAGGCATGATCCCTGTTCATAGAGCATGTGTGGAGCCCCTGAATATTCTCATTTCTCCACACTGTTCCTTTAAAGGTGAGTCCAGTGACACATGCATGGGCTTCACTCAGTCCTAATTTTGTTTCATGAATCCAGACGTCTGTTATACACCAGCTTCCTGATTTGGCAGACAGTCAAGAAGTTGATGTAAAAAGTTGTTATAATGTGCCTCTGCTTGCTCCATCTTTTATTAAGAAACACCTTTTTGAAAAGAAGGAGGATAAGTCAGCAGAAAAGTCCTTAACACCCAAGGTTGTGATGCCTCTTGTGGTCTGCTATTTAGAGTTACGCTTACTCCCCTCCCAATCATCGCACCGCACTACAGTACCACTTATCTGTTCCCGTTAAAGCAGGGCAGGAATTGCCCTGCAGGGTGCAGGCGGCCCACCCACAGCGTGGTACGTCTCTTGGCATTAGCTCACACATGCTTACCCTGCCATTTCCAACTGACTGTACAGACGCGGTGAGAGAAAACCTCTGCTCTGTCTTTACCGTAACATCGGCCCCGGGCTCAGTCAAACACAAAACGATTTGTTGCTGCTGTTGATTGCACAACTGAGTAAAGAAGTCTGATCTGCAGAGCTATATTTTGAAGCTCATGAAGCTGTTGCAGAGGAACATGTCCAAATTCATATCATTTAGTAAAAAAAAAAAAAAACTCGTCTCAAACTGTGAAATCCATCATTTTCACTGTTCCCTCTTAATGGCCTTTTTTTCAACTCAGCAAAATCTCAACCATGTGACCATGAGCTCATAGTTTTTCTGAGGGTGTTGTATTGAATACTTCTGATGGGTGTTTTCCAGTTACAAAACAAACTGGAAAGCTTAAACAGATTCATTGAGACAGTAAACATCCCTGTCCATGAGTCTGCTTGTAACACAATATTGCACTATGCTAAACCGTTGTATCACAGCCTCAGTGACCAGCCTGATGTTCTTGTAAAGTTCATCACAATACCTCTTTGTCTGTGTGCAGCAGATGAAAAATAGCGCCATATTTCATTCTTGGGACCAACCACAGAGCAAATCGGAGCATGTAAAATACAAGCAACTCAGAAAATCTCCATAAGAAATTCATCTAAGTGCCTGGGAATGATTTTCAGAGAAATCCATTCATCATTACAATCAGCACAAATGAAACATATCCATTTCAACATTAGCTCCTCCTCTGAGAGGTCCGCTTTGCAGCTTGAGTGATTAAAATGGCTCTTTTAATATCCCCTAATGTGTACCAGCACCCTAGTCATTACCCTACTTCCGTTATTATGCAGGACCCCTGCCTGCATCGGCGCTCATTTGAACAGAGCCTCACTGAACGTCCATGTGAGTGCCTTATGTATAATCTCTCTCAAGACTGCACCTCGCAACCCCTACACAGTATCCCAGCGCACACTCCTGTCATTATATTCACAATACGGACCTCCACAAACATCTGCATTTTTGGCAGGAGCCCACTCCTCCTTAAGGCCCCTTGTTTTGCAGTCTCTCTTTGGGGGTTCCAGTCCGCCCTGTGTGGCCCCTTACTATCAGACTTAAAGATCAGTTCATGGCTCCCAGTCCAAGGCAGGAACTAAGGCAGAACCTTCCTGCAACCTTTCCTCGGAATATTCAGAGCACGGTCAGGTCAAAAGCACTCTTCCTGTTTGTGCGAAGAACACTGGTGTACTTTTCCATAAAAAAAGCAGGCTGTGTAAAAAGTCAATTTCTAAACTGGAGATCATGAAGCTACACATTTATATGCACGCTCATGCACTTGTAACCAGTGGAGTGCTTGCAGACCGCTTTACTTTTGTACCATCAGGGAAAATCTCTTAATTTTAGCTCATTACGTAAGCCCACTCTTTCCAACCCTGTCCCGATCCTATTTTGAGGTTTTTGAGTGTGTAAAACTGAGTCGGAGATAAACTGAAGTGAAAACGTAATCACTGTCAACAAAGGCTGTAGTTTGGGAGCAGCTTAGGATGGTTTTGTTTTGAAAGATGACAAACATAATCAACCCTCGGTGATTAGAGGGGCACGTCTTTTGTGGAACATACACCACATGTGTGTGTGTGTCTCACTTAGGCCATGCTGCTTTTCACGTCTTTGAGCCTGGAAGCAATTTTGCGAAAAAAAAAAAAGATTATCAAGGGACAAATCTGTAGAGGCAGCTATGCAAAAATAAAACAAAAATATAGGTTGTGTTCTTGTGAATTAAGATGTAGAACAAGGGCTTAAAGTTTGTCAGGGGGAGAGAGCTTGCACAGCATGTGGACTGACAGAAACCTGTGTGTGTGTGTGTGTGTGTGTGTGTGTGTGTGTGTGTGTGTGTGTGTGTGTGTGTGTGTGTGTGTGTGTGTTGGATGAAGTTGGCTCTGAGATACGCTGGCCACACGTGTCGAGCGTCCCTCACTTCCTTGTGGTCAGGGCTGAAGGCTGTCATTATGCGGGGCCGCAAATTCGCTTGACATGATCTGCAGACATTAAATCATCCACAGAGTCCAAACATCTCCCACAGTGTGGGATATTTCTGTTGGAAATGAGGTGACCCTGCTTCCTGGTATGTACATGTTAGATAGTATTAGTGTAATAATCTGAAAATTAGAAAGTCTTCATCGCTATTCTACCCCGTCTACATACGGTAGGACAGAGGGTGTGAGAAATTACAGAAAAAAGGGAACCAAGGGGAGTGAACTGATCTCGTGGCTAGACATAATTGAAATCAGCAGGTAGAGCAGAGAATACAGAAACTTCATTTTTTTGCGTGTTTCAGTTCCCATAACCTCATTCAGCCTTTTTTCATCCTAGCCTGACAGATACAGTAAATCCTGCACCTGACATTTCTTCTCTTCAGCTCTCACTCTTTGATTCTTTACACAAGGGGGGTTGTGTTTCCTGTCTCTTAGTTGAATACTTGACTAAATCATACATTACAGAATCTTCTCTTCCCGGAAACCATGAAATTCTCATCAAGTACAGTTAAATCCTGTGACAGGGATATGATGGTTTAAAAAAAAACCTCTTGTGATCGCTGTCCAAATTGATGGATACACAAATATGAGTTAGCTTGAATACACATTATGTAATGTGTATCTGGGCTAAGACACAGCAGTTGTGGTTTTCAATATGCCCATAACTGACAGAACCCTGGACTATTGCCGTCTAACCGGTTAACCTCACAGTCTGCACAGGACTGGACACAGATTGAAGTTGACAGGCTGCATTTTTCTTTTCAAAGCTACTAAAGCAGATGGTTGATTTATTTTTTATTACATTTAACGGACTGATAATGTTGAATGAGTTAGTGATGATTGTCATTAGACTGAACTGAACTGCCCTTAAATGGTTTGTCGTCTGAATATGGCTTAGAAAAACATTTCCACCAAGGAATCGATGAAAAAACTTCGACCAGGCAGCAGCGGATGTCTTCTGAGACTTATATCAATCATGCAGAGATTTAATGTTTCATATCTGATGGAATATCAAGCATTGGTGTTTGTCAAACAATGTTTTATAGATGGTAAAAATATGATGACAAATATTAGGATAGTTGTGACAGACACAGACAAGATTTCTGTCTGCCCCTGTGACTCTCAAAAAGGAGAGTTTTGATCTAGGTTAACTTAACCCTGGAGGACTCTCCTTGACAGGCTGCTTCAGTCCTACACCTCTAGGTGGCTTCGGTGCGGAGTCCCACATTTAGCCTTTCTCCCCCAGGTGATAAAGATGCTTTGAGCTTGCACCTGGGACTGTAATAAAGATCTTTTATAGCTGTTTTGGGGTCAGCAGTAAAACCTGAGTGGGATGTGAGAGCTTGTTAGAAGGTGGTGTGGAAGAATGCTTAAGCACAAGAGACGTACTCTTGACACCTCGCGTCCCTTTTGATGCAGGCGGACATGCACCTGAAAAGACTCATTTTATCACGCCTGTTAAACAGAATACACCAATTGAGCAAAGCTGGGTTCATTAAGTTCACGGTTCAGTGTCGATACAAGAGCAGAGCTGTGAGAAAGAGGTGTTCACTAAGTTGTGAGGTGGAATCAAAATTTTTCCAATAAACAGGCGGTAAATACCTAAATACCAACATTTTTTATGTTATTTAGTGTTTTTTAATTACAATCTTATGTGATTGCTCAATATCTGATGTGCATGAATTGCCAAGAAATGATGCTCCCCTCCTCTACACTATACGCTCCATTCTCCTTATGAATATTAACATTCCCAACGTGATTGTTTTTTATTCAGAATTACAGGCAGGATTGTGAGACATTTCGCACCGTGGTGAAGATGCTGGTGGCCAAGGAACCCAGTTTGGATAATCTGCTGCAAGCTCCACTGGATAAGAACCTTTTGGAAATCAAACAACGCTGTCTGGACTCTCTTAAACACTTTGTGAAGGAGCTCGACGAGGTACTACAGCAACCAGACATTCCACCAGAGGCCACGGGTCTCAAAACACTCACCTGACGACATGTAGTCCTCAAATTTATTGTCTTTCCTCTTTTGGTGAATCAAACGTTGAAACATCTAACATGTTACATATTATTGATGTCAGTCATAAACAAAAACAAGATGACAGGTGATGGTACCTGTCTACTTACTAAAACACAAACAATTCAAAAGTAAACCTAAAAAAACAGAGTCTCAGTTCAACGCTGATGCATGTATGTGACTCACAACAGCAAAGCGTGTGGGAGAACCATATCGGAACATTTATTTTGATGCTTAACCCGCTGTCTCTTGGTTGGATTCAAATGATATGTGGACCACATACAGTCTGCAAAGACCCCCCCACCCCCCACCAAAGTTTCACAGTGAGTATTACCTTACTCTGGTAAAAGGGAGTGGGGCAAAATTTTCTGTGCATAAAGCATACGGATGTATAGAATCAGAGATGGTTCCTCACTCGCTTTGGGATTAGAAGATCAAGCTTGTGTTTAATCATCAATACCTGAAGTGTTATGAATGAAATCAGAGAGGATTCAAATGTACAAGAGAAAGTTTCTACAAAATCTGAACATATGAGCCTAAAGCTACAATTTTTTTAATATCATATACCAGATAGTGTAAATATTGACAAATATTCTGTACACCCTATAATGCCCTTGCAAACTTAAAACCACGCTGCTATGTGGTCGGTTTTTTAAATTTATATGTCTCCGTACGACATAACTGAGACTTATGGTGCATTCTATTTTAGACCGGTATTGTATGATCCTCATCTGTTTGGTATTTATCATGAAACACTGAGGTATTAAGAAATGCAGACTCTTTTGTAAGTATTGTGGACCATTTTTTAATAGTCTTGAGTTTGTAATTACATTCTATACATGTCTAAATACAGATTTAAGCCAATTGAGTGATGTCTTCCTTTTTTGGGAATCCATTGAATACATCTGTGTAAGAAAAACACAACAAAAAGCATGATATATAGATATTTATTACAGTTATCATCTATCTTAGCCTTATATTCCAGTTTGTACATTTATACAGATTATAAAGATATGCTTACAATGCTGTGACCCATAAATACACCACTCAACCAAGCTTTTTAATACACAGTGTTTCTCTCATGTTATGCTGTTCAAGCCTGGAAGGCAACACTTTTGAAGATACTGGGCCAGAGGTGGTCTGCCGTTGAATATCTGACATTACCTCAGGATTATGGCTCAATGTTAACTGCCGAATTGATTGTTTGCTGTTTTAGCACAAAGCATATCATGAACTCAGGGGTATAAAAATAGCCATTGTTTTTTTTTTAATTCTACAATATTTACATCGATGTCTTAACTGTGAAACACAGTTTAAACAGTTGTTCTTAAATATGTATCACTCTAAAATACCTTGCAATTTTACTGGAAAAATTGTAATACCACACCTATAAAGTTGCAAAAGAGGGACCTGTGTCTTGCATCAACATTCAGTAAATTGAGTGCTGTGAAACATTTAATAGAAAGCAAACTGTTAATGCATTGAATGGTGAATATTAGAAGCAGATGTGAGTGGCAGAGCAATACACAAAGCTAAAGAGAGGTGAGTCAGGAACTATCATGAAATGATACAGTTTTTCCCCTTGTGCCCTTTTTTCTTTTTGGACTTAGTCCGTAGGCCATAAGAAGGAGAGGACATGCCTGCCACAGGGCTTGGCAAGTCATCTGCATAGTAGTGTCGAACAGTCCTTGGCTGAGGAATGGGCTGACCCAGGAAAAAGCCTTCTTCCTCAGAATCAGAGGAGGAAGAAGAGCATGTGGAGCACCAATCATCATCCTCCCCATATAGTCCCAAGAACCTCCCCATGGCTGGGCCCTGTGGCCCATAGTCTGGCATGGCAGCAGTGTTTGGGTGGCCCAGAAAGGCTTGATGCCCCTTAGGCCCAAGTGCATTTCCCCTGTGGTCCACTTTGTAGCACATTCTGGCCCTCTCCTTCGGCAGTAGGTTAAGAGCATTGTCAGAGCGAGACTTGCGACTGCGATGCCTCCTGCGGTGGTGATGGTGGCGACCAGAGTGAAGATCCTGGCCCTGCTCCTCAAAGTGGTACACTCTCCGACGTGTCCGTTCACTCATAGGTGGCTGGCGCACTGGGAGATCACAGTAATGGCCATTATCAATCACATCATCAGAGAACTTGACCTGCTGAGGTCTGGATTGTGAGCGTGTCCTCCTGATAGCAGGTACATGAGGTTTGGGCATGTCTGCTGGAAGAGGCACCTCCTCTTCCTCAGGAACATTTTCTTCAAACTCTTCTTCCTGCTCTGATACAAGGCTCTTCAAGGAATTGGCACTTCTATGTAACATTGAGGAGTTGAGGGTTCCCATATTACTGGTTTTCTCACACTCTTCAGTCTCCAGTTCATGGAATCCTTGCAGGGAATATACCAGTTGTCTGTCTTTATTATCACCATCTACAGATGCCCCTGGATAGGAGAGAGGAAAATTTAGTAAGTATATGGGTCTAAGAGCAAACCATGGTCATCACATTGGAAAAAAAAAATCTAAATTTTATTTATCATGACAAGTCCACTCACCGGTAATATTGGAGAGTGCCAGTGAATCCATGGAGTCCCGGACGCTCTGATCCGTTTTCTTGAACTCATCTGTGATACACTCCAAAGAGTCATTGTACCACTGTGGCTCCTCTCCCTGGAAGCCTCCTCCAGCTCCATGATCCAACTCCAACTCCTGGATCTTTCTGCTGCTAGCTGGCCCGGGATGACTTCCATAAGCTGAGTCCCCAAGCCCATCCTGTGACTGGGCCCAGTACATGTCAGCCTGGTACTTCTTACTTGCCAGGCTCCCCCTTCCCCCTCCACTCCCAGTGCCAGGTTTTGAAGACTCCTGCTTCAGCTTGGCTTCCTTTTCAGCAATCCAGAAATCAGTGGGTCTGGAGTCACTGGCTTGCTGGAAGACACCATGTTCCCCAAATTTCAATAACAGTTGAGTCATGTAGTCTTCATGCTCAGCCCACTCCTCCTCCTGATCTTCAGGTGCCTCGTTCTCCTCATTACGTCCCCTCCAGAAATGCTCATCAGATAAGTTCATGTGTGCAAGCTTGTTGGTCAGGGTGTCATCAGCATTTCCACTGAAGCCTGGGAACTTATAGTTGACAGACGGTGAGAAGAGGAGCGACTGTCTGCACTGGTCAGCTGACCGACTGCTTTTTCCCATGCGCACACTGCGCCGAGATTCTCGTGACCGTGCTGACTGGAAAGCAGAATCAGAAGAGTCAGAGGCATGCACATCTTCTCCAATACTGCAGGCCTTGGAGCAGTAGATGCGGCCTTGGTGGGGCAAGAAGGGACAGCCCAGTAGGGAACTTTTACACTGCGCACAACTAAAGCAGCTCTCGGTCGCATGCCAGTGGAGCCCATCATAGGTCATTTGAGCATGATCAACACCTGGAAAAAAAGGATATTAAGATGGTTAGCCATGTAAAACTGGAAGTCAAAAAAATGTGACAGAAACTTGTAGACGGCAGGAAGTAACCCTGACTAACCTTTTGAGGAACTCTGCGCAATAGCAGGAACCTGGGTCTAAATTTTGTTCCAGGGTAATTAAGTTTCTACAGACAGGACGGTGCTTTCCAAAAGTCTGGGGAACTTAATGGGCAAGGCCTGAAGACTCTAAATTACATTTAAACACAGGTCCTTATTTTACATATTAAAGACTGGCAGCTGCTGGAGGAGAGATTGCATTGGAATATTTCCTCTTTTCTCCATTTCAAGTTGGTCTTTTCTGAAAACGTTTTGTGCAGACAGGCACAAAATGGAGATGGTGCAAAAGCAAATATTTCTAGTAACCTAATGTTATTTAATCATTAGTACAACTCGCATGCTGCCAATATGATTTGTGATGTTTTTGTTGAGCTATGCCCAAGCGACTTTGTTTACAAATTAACTGCCCTGGACCTGTTCTCCACATGTCGTTGGCCTGAACAACTGAATAGTTTTACAGAACATCAAATTGCAATGGAAACACGGACAGCTACATATTTTCATAGAGAGAAAGAGAAGAGAAGAGAAGTTCCTGGAACTACAACTGGTTCTTTTGGTCCAAAAGCACTAACATGTTTTGATTTGATTCTCTCAAAGAAAATCATCTTACCAATATGTTCTCCACAGGCCTCACAGTACTCCGCATAGAGAGATTCAAAGCAGCCACAACAATATGGTCTGCCATCCTTCATGATGTAGCGTTGCCCTCCAAGAATAGTCTCACATTCAAAACAGGAGAAGTGCTTCATGTGCCAATGGCGCCCCTCTGCCTCAGTGCACTCATCAGCAAAGATGATCTGTCGAGACATTGAACCGGGTTACACATTAAATCCAAGACAGTGTAGATCTTAAGTAAATGTTAGTACTATCCCAGAGAATTTCTTGACTGTCAGACTCCTAAAGTTTGGCCCTTTACTACATTGTTTTCTTTCAGTATTTCAGTCTTGTGGTTTTACCTCGTCACAGGCTGAGCAGCGCGGTTTGAGTAGCTCAGCATGGTGCCTTCCACAGTGGATCTTTCCATCATGGTAGAAGTAGATCAAATCCACCAGCAGTTCGCTGCATGTTGAGCAGGCAAAGCATGCTGGGTGCCAGCACAGCCCAGGGCCCGCCCTTGAGGCGAACACAGCCATCTCTCCACCATTGATGTTTTCACCGCACTGCAACACACAAGATGATGGTATGGTTGAGTAAATGACTCTGAAACAGCTCTTTAGCAGGAGTTTCAAGGAGTTGTGTGACAAGATCAAATTAGGAATGAAGTCTGGATACTTAATTGCTTCTCTTTTAAAACCACACGCTTCTGTTAAGTTCAAATTTGTATGTCATGCAACACAAATTTTCTGGTCTAAACTTGAACATTGTGATTTTCAAGCCTAATTGCTCTGTTGATGAAGAGGTCAAAATATAGTCCATCTGCATGCTGGGTTGTCCCGACTGCAGCCCTAGACGTGTCTGTTTTCTGGCAGTTCTGACCAGCACAAAGTGTGAAGAAAATCATTTTTTTATACATGTGAAAGTTTTGGAATCGTGTGAATACCAGTGAAAACACTACCATTAGTCAGTCCAAACCACTCAAAGAGAAAAAGCAAAGAAAACTTTTTGTCTGCAAGGCTGAAATCAAGCCTCAGCTTATTTCTGCATACTCTTGCCAAAACTGAAACTAGATTACCTGACTACCCGAAGAGAAGATGTGTAGAAGATAAGCAGACACATCTGTGCAACACAATAGTTGCAATGGGCTGTTGCTCTTATAATATAGGCTTAAAAACACATTAACAAGTAATTATTCTGTCCATATTAACAGTCATGAAACCCTCATGCATGTAAGACATGAAACGTACATGCTCACAAATGCTCTTCAGCAGATTGCGGGGCAGCAGTTTTATTGTTCCCCTTCCGAGAGCTTCTTTCTTCCTCTGGACGCTGAACATGAGTAGCTCCTTCTTCTCCTCCTCGCTGAGAGACTGGCAGTAACGCACCTGGGAAGAAAATGCCAAGTTGTCAGTTAACATCCACTCATTGCACCAAGGAATGATGTTTTTTATTTCTACTGTAAAATGCTAAAAAAAATATGCAAGAAAAAAATCATCAAAAGGGGTTCAAGTGAGATTCTCTTTTTTTCATCTTTGAAAAGCTGCAGGTCACTAAAAGGTGATAAACTTCGATAAGTATAAGCGAGGGCAGAGTGCATACCAGAGCATGCTGAACAAAGGTACCTCTTGACCCCAGCTTGCCCTTCCTACACCCCCTAAATATCTCCACCCACAGCCTCTGATTGAGAACATCATTTTTACAACGAACCTTTTTGATGTTTCCTAAAGCCTTAACAAGAGGGAAAGCAGACGTTTACACAAACAAGGCCTGTGTTTAGAGTGAAATCAAGAGGACGGGCAACAAAAGAAGAGAGACAGCCAAGCTGAACCGTGGTGCCACTGTGGTGGTGGCATCACATAAAGCCTCTTTCAACCACAGCCCCTCTCTCCCGCTGAGCGGTCCTCGTAAAAACCACTGCTATGACAGGAATCCTGCTGGTGGGGGCTCCTGGCAAACATCATAAAATCATCAAGTCAAAAGTCACATTGTGCCCACTCTACAAGTCTACATGATTGTGGAACAAAAATCCCCTAGTGTGGTGTCAGCGTGACTGCCAAGGCTTCACAGATGTGGCATGGCATAAAGATGGCGCAGTTATTAACGCTGTGGGTTTTTCAGATAGAACTACTCCAACAGAATTGAGAGAGGCTGAAATGAGAGGACCTGCTGGGACAAGTTTTATGATACCTTCATTTCCACATGCACACATAATATTCTCACCTCATTATCATGTGGTGGAAGTTGGTAGAGGAGCTGCTTGATTCTGAACTTCTCTCCTGGACTGTTCACGTAGGGGATCTTATCCTCAGGCAGACAGGAGAAGTATAACTGGACCTGGAGGAATCATAGCATGCAGAAGAAACATTAGTCACAGGAACACTGTTTTATGTCTAGACAGTTTGGAAAGCCTCAGTGATGTGTGAGCCTGATTTAAAAAAACACTAAATATACAAGTGACAAGGCGTTAAACACTTCCTTGTTCAAACTGAAAGATTCAACACATAACCATGAAAGACAACTGATATCCGTTCCAAGTTATATATTTTCAAGCATGTGTAGTCATCAATCATGAACATATATCTGTTAGAAGTTGAGCTACTTTAAACAAAAAATTTAACCAGCGAATTGCAGTAATCTTTCATCGTAATGATCTTGGATGAACGATCCATATTTAGGAACACAAATTATTTTCCAAGGGACCAGAGACTAACACATAAACTTGTAATGAGACACATTCTGGGATGGCGCGGTGTTAAAATATATGGAAGACTGACTTTGTGTTATTGAAATGTTGGACTGTTACCTAACTCCACATGTTAGATTTATTTCTAAATAACAACACAGAGCGTTAATGTTTTGATGACTGCAGGGAGGTGATAAACTTCATAAACCAGAGTGAAAATAGGTCAACAGGTCAAATCAGTTTAAAGGTTGTACTTTTCCAGTCATATGCTTGTCTCTAAAGGATGGGACAAAGCAGCTTGTTGCAGTGGCACTTTGACCCTTGGGGCTGGCCACTGAAAACTAAACTTTATGAGGGAGGGGCTATTACAGCCGGCCAGATAAAGAGGTGGGATGTGCTTGTCTTGTGTGTTGGGGTGGCTTCCTGCAGCTTTGGTCGTCTAGAGGGGGTAACGGCAGTTTACCCTGACAATCAACCCAGCGTTTGCCCCCCCCTGACCATAAATTATGCACATTTTGATGTAGCTATTACCCCTCATCCAGCACCCTTGGGGCTGGGGAACAGTCTGCTATCACCCAAGCTCTCCATGTGTGTCTTCACTGTAATGATGACCCGTAATACTTGGCCTATTCAGGGCAATGGCTGCAGTAAAGACATTACAGTTGACCCATGCATTTCCAAAACAAAAGCCTCTGCTTGTTTGGGATTTAAGGTTCTCTGTAGCTGAGAACTCCTCTCGCCCTCATTGCTTCCATGTGTGTAGTTTAACAAGGGAAGAGGGATGGAGAGACACGGAGAAGAAGAGAGATCACAGCAAGAAAAGAAAGAAAAATGAGGGGAAGGAAAAATGCAGCAGATTGGGTAAAGTGCCACATCACACTGGCTGCCCTGCGGACACAACTAACAGCCCTGCCTGTGTTTGTGGAGAGGAAGGCTTGTTAAAAGACAGCCCCGTGATTATTCATTCTGCCACCAGCAGTGGTCTCAGCCCACCGAGTCCTCTTCTTAACAGATCTGTGATAATGACAAGCAGACCCTGCCATGCCACAGTTTGTAAATTGAAGTACACACATCCTGTCTTTTACTGGCTCCATGGTAGAGCCTGATAAAAGGGAGCAAGCAGAAGTTTTAAGAAATATGTTGCTTGTCCTTTAAGTGCCATTATCAAGAGACTGTAGCTGGTGTGTTGTATTCACTGATGTGCTGAATAGCATTTATCTGGGCCAGGAAAATAGGCTAGAAGGGAGTTAAAATCAGGTCAGCACTGTTTTTATTCCCTGTCAGGAGGATCCAATATTATTCACCATGGTGATTTGGGGAATGATGATTGCTTAACCAATGAGATAGGCACCACAATCAAAGCTAACAGTATCATGCTGTGACTATTTCTCTATAGCAAAGAAAAGCCTGATCCAAACTGCCCAGGATTTCGGATTGCTCCAGTTTAGGGCTGGGCGATTACCCCCTCCCACATCAACTACGTCTACTTCAGCCGCCGCTCCAGCCGCTACAACTTTTGAACCGTTCTCCATCTCCTCACCTGTCTTTCCCTCTTTGTTACGGAGTCATGTCTCCGACTTAGGGCAGCATCTTATGGGACATGAGAGCATAGCCTACCTACACACATCCAAAACCAACTTTTATTTATTTCTTTATTTTGCCACCGAACATACCGATATGGTCAAAATGACGTTGGTTATTGTTGTAAATTTCGGTATCTGTAAAATTTCGGTTTGTCACTCAGCCCTACTTCAGCTCATCTCAAAACACCTTCATTAATCTCCAAAACAGCCATCCGAGTTTTTCAGTGTAATATGTAACTCACCTGTTCAGGTCTCAGGCCAGGTGGTACCCAGGCATACTCCTCCAGTGCACACCCTGAGTCATCATCAGAGGTGGAGCTGCGTTGGAAGGCGGAGGTCAGCTTACTGACTTTCTGCTCCATCATCAAGTCTCGCTGGCGCGCTCCACCCTGGAGGCCAGCCGCCGACGCTGCTGCGCTCGCCAGGCTCATCAGACTCTTTTTTTACTAGACGAGACAAAAACAAAAAGGAAGGTCAGCGGAAGGACAGAAGACTTTGGGTGAGGATAGGGAGAACTTTAGGAACCATTACGTCAGTGAAATCCCTTATAATACTATCTTCACTTCAACCGATCTCTTCGTCATGTCAGTGTAATTTCCTTGAGTGCTAACCACCAGCTGAATCACAGCATCACTGTCACTTTCATAAGGCACACAGCCCCCTCAAAAGCCAATTATGGTATTCGAGAAAGGTTTTCTTGGTTCGGTTTACTAGTGATGAGTCAACTTGATAAAAGCACTCATAAAGAGAACTGTACCCTTTCACTGCTGTTGTGGCTCCGGTTAAAAATGTGTTTTCCTCATGTGGCTTTTGAGGATATGAAGACCTTTAGGAAATTCCCAACGCTTTGTGACTTGACATCATGTTAAAATTGGCATTAACAACCCGTTAGCTGTTCTTTAAGGCAGGAAAAACTCATCGTTACTTATAGGTACACCCACGCTTGGGTAATGTCTTGCAAACCTCACCTTCCTTTTCTCGACTACAGTTCAGTTTTCAGACTCTGGCTGTCCAATCTTTAAGTTGACTTCTTCGCTGTGGAGCTGAGGTCTGAATGAGTCATCATTCAGCCCGCCTCACTGCTGCGTCATCCTATGTCCCAAGAGAGAGGCCACCTCATGAGATCTGATGCTGGCTTGATCAGTTGAGCCTGAAGTCTGTATAAACACAGTGCCGGCCTTAAGACGGGGCCACCATATGGGGAATGTCCACAAGCCTGGTCTCTCCCTTCATCTCCCTTTTTTCTTTGGACTGTTTGTTTTCCAACCTGCTACACCGAGTGTCTGATCGTCTTTTCATCTTTGAGATGGACAGGACAACACCAGGTGAAGTTGTTGGACAGGGAGAGATTGATTTTGAGGGGTTTAGATGGATAGGGTCGAATGATAATTGACAGTTGAAAGGAAAGTCAAAGAGATGCACAGTTTTGGCCTTAATCCGTGCAGACATGACTTTTTGACAGATTGTTTTGTTTCTACTTAACAATAGAAACCAAACAACAAACTTTACAGCCCTATTGACATTTATTAAGTCTTAAAATTTATGTGATGGGAGAAAAAGAACAGTATTGAAGTAAAAGCTAAGATATTTGTGTTAGTATTCTGGATTTACGAGTTGTGCCATCCACAGTGAAGCTTTTAAAGTGAGACCCTTAAATTTCATTTACTTTAACAACAGTGAATGCCAAAAAAGAAATCGTATGACGCCCCTTTCCTTTCAAAGTCTCACCTTACTGCATTGTCTCCTGGTTTGTCAAATTTGTAACCAGTCGGGAAATACCACTGATTCAAGTTTGAGAAGGAAATCAATTAATAAACTAACCAAACTCAGTGACTTACAGAGCTGCTGTTTAACTCTTTGAGGACCGAGCAGACGAGGAGCTGATGAATGTGTGTCCAGTTGTGGTCATTTCTCACAGGCCAAAGGCTCTGGCTGAGATCAAATGGGAGACCAGTCAGCGTCCAGCAGCCTGGCCCTTACACCACCACCCCCAAACCTCCACCCCCTATGGCCAGCAAGGGCACCGAGGGCCGTGGAGAGACAGCTGAGAAAACCAGACACACTTGAGTGCAGCCTTTGAACACAGGCGTGACAGTAGAGTAGTGGCCTGAAAGTCTGTGCTCTCTCCTGGAATGATATATATGCCCGGCTGCCTCTGGGAGCGTGCAGCTCCTATGCATACATAAGAAGGGAATGTATACACAGAATTTATGTCGGGGCCAACATTGACACAGGCTACTGAGGGCTGAGCTGGTCCACGCAAGCACCAACCTGAACTGTCATTCAGCTGTGTGCTCTTGGCTCTTCTTTCCAAGTTAGTGGCACACAAGACCCTTCTACTGATGATTTAGTGCTGCATAGACAGCATACCAGGCATCTTGGTATCTACTCATCATTCATATCAAAACATCTCCCTCAAGGACATGTCAGCCTCTGCAGCTTTGCCAATGCCTAACAACATACCTGCTGAGCATGATGGATAGCGGTGGCATTTGGCACTTTTGAGGAGGATCCATGCCTGAATTGTGCCACATAGTGTCGAGTCAGGCGGACTGGCTTATGGCACGTCCCATTATAACGCCTCTGATGTGCTGAACAATGGCGCCTTTGTAAAGGAATCCACTGAAGACTTGTTCCATCAAGAGACTGTTTATCTCACTTTAAGCCTTTTTTTCTCCTGAAGATTCGGTGTGTTATCTCCTCATACATGACAGTTGAAGCCCTCAAACTCTGATAACCTGTCCTCGGATGAGAATGGGGAGTGAGAAACAAGACACTGTCTCTTGTTCTTTTTCACATCTATTGACTTGCAAATGAGACCAAAATAACCTGCAAAAATGTGGCCTTGTTTGAGAGCAGCTTGGGTTTCATTTGGGAGATGGCTAACTATAGGCAGGTTGAGTCAGGAGCCAAGACTTCACAGCCTCACATTTTATCAAGCGCACACACTCACTCATGCAAAACATTTGTTAGAAAGATGTTTGCTTCCACGTGTTGGCCAAGAATCTGTGAGGATGTATCACAAAGCCAAACCTGACTCACAGGAATGTCAGGCTTGAATTCACGCCAGGCTCCAAAGAGGAATAAATATGTGGATCGCTAAAGCACAGGATGTTTTATACAGAACATCTGCTTGCATGCTAATTCTTCCTTTAGAAGTCATGTTGCTCATTGTCTCTGATTTCGCCGATCATGCTTCCCTAATATTTTGAATGACAGAAGCTCAGAGCCAACTAACACATTCATGCTTTGACTGAGTTGCCAAGTCACTGACTCATCACTTGTTCTGGCTTTTAAAGTTTTTCTCCCAACAAGGAGCCTATGGTTTATGAGATTAGTTTGAACTCCTATTCTCAATGTTCTGCTCCCCCTTGCCCTGCCCTCCTCCCACACTAGCCAGACCCCTGCAGACTTGCATGATTAACAGCCCCTCGCTCTTTTGTAAAGGTGCTTGTTAACATGGCTTTGGGAGCTGCAGGCTTGCATATCTGACTGATCTGCCTACAGAGGGCCAGAGGCTGTTGGGGGTGCTATCAGACTGAGGCTTAAACAGAGTGAGTGACATGTAAGAGAATGTAAATGTGTCTTGTTCAACAAAAGAGAGGAAATTTAAGTCAAGGTAGGCGGAAGAGGGAAGCTGGGACACATGCCTGCTCTGAATGGTTTTCAGTGATTGAAGATTTGAAAACATCCCACAAGATAGCTGGAATGAATGGAAAGGGCTGTGCTCTCGAGAAAGAGACTCTGATAGTGTGGAGGCGCAGAAAGTCCTTACTATTCACAGGATCTCAGTGCAATCCAGATCCATCAAAGAACAGGTCAACCACAGGTTTGTATTTGCACGTGTTAACTCCAGTGTTTAGTTAACACACATCAGGACTTCATTATGTTAGAGACCAGTACATACAGCCACAAAATGACATTTTAGTAAAGCATTCAACAACACTTCAGCCAGAGTACCCCGAATCTAGACACCAGAGTGTTGAATTAACAACCCTTAAGAGAGGGCAGAGGGAAAAATACGAAGCTGCTGGTCTGAATTACTGACTATATTCCCTTTAGGAAGTGGATGATGGACATGCACACAACTCAACACAGTGCTCTCTGTCAGTTTGGACCGGCCCAACATGTTTGACTTGGCTCCTGCAAGCTCAGCAACGCAGGATAGGCTCTACTTGTAGAGAAAAACAAGATTTTCAGTTCCTTGGCCCCATTGAGTTCATAGTCAGACAAATCTGTTTTTTTATGTTAGACAAGACACATCTGAAGTTCAGGAAAATACGCAGTGTGTTTTCTCTCTTTGTAACACTCAGATTTACTCAAATGACAGCCTGTCAACTATCGTGAGCTAATGTAAAACAAACAGAGGTAATCTAAGGAAGTAAAAGCAAACAATCTGCAGGATGAACCAGACTGTTTAGACTCTTTTGTACAAAAGTGACTGCAAGACAACTGAATAACAAGACTTGGGATGTATTCATGGCAGCGTTGAGGTGCTACATGGCTGGAGTTTGGTCAGGCCTCCTTTCATGGCCAGGGAAGTTGTTTTCTCAAGACCAAATGGATGGGAGTGACATCCCCACAGAGATATACACTCAGGAGACCACCTGCATGTTAGGCAGACTGAACTAAGACTCAGCAGCACGTGCTGCTGTCACACAGCAGACATCAAACACATACATACACGAACAGTCCTGAACTGTGTTTTTTAGTATAGTGTGGGCATCTTAACTGAAGTCTTCATTTTGAACCTTCTGGAGGAAAACTTTGATCTGAGAAATACAGATGTCTCTCAGAGTGAGCACGTTGTTATCCACACAAAACTGATTTCAACTGGCTTGGCCAAAACTATAGTTCAGCAATCTGACATTTTCTCTTGTTCAGGTAATGTTTTCTTACCACCTCATTTCAAAGAGGGCAAATTCCTCTGAGAAAAAAAGATAAAGAAACAGATGAAATCTTGAGTCAGTCTCGTGCCAGTCTTACCTTAGTGTAGGCCAAGTCTCTTGAGGCGAGCATGCGAAGGGATCTTATCATAACTATCTCCACCTCTCCTAGATTTGTCTCCAGCCTCTGGGCTTCATATATAAGCAAAGATCCTCAGAGCTCTAATTCCAGCACAGAAGCAGTCAGCCTTCTCTCGCAGAGCTGTCAGCGCTGTAACAGCCCATATCAATGCCAAGACAGTAAAACAGTCCAGGAGATGTCTGTCTGAGTGCGTGGGAGAGAGTGTTTGAGATGGGTGTGTGCGTGTGCGTGTACATGGAGGAGCTCAACCAGATGGTCATTCCACCCTCACCCACTCCTCCTCCTCCGCCTCCTCCTCAACCCAGCCCTCTCAACCTCAGCCCAGCCCCTTAACCTCAGAACAGCCAGTCACGGTCGGCTAAGGCAGAACCAGGCGTCTCTCCTCTGGTGACCCTCCCCTTGAGTTTAAAACATATGCTTCCAAATGAGAACCACCGCCAGAGGAACTGCGCTTTAAAGCAGCACATTAGCGATGGTGGAGCTCAGTTTACCCGCTTTTTTTTTTTTACAATTACTAACCCAAACTCCACAACAGCTTTCACATGACAATCTTCTTCCTCCTTCCCCGCTCAAAGATGTGGGTTAGGTGGTGAACGTTACAGTCGGGGTTTGGTTTGTGTGATGGTTTGTGTTTCCACTCCTGCGTGCTAACTTGTCAGGGCTGTTTGCTATATTCAGCTCCATGATTACAGACTGATTGTTGGATTGAGGGAACAAAGATGCTCTATGTAGTCCACTGCAACAAAACACTTCCCACCATTAACACTTTCTTTGTTTAGCCTCATGTAACCCCTGCCTATGACTGATCATGATGTCAGCAAGTCTAAGAGCCAGGAGTCCTATTATATATGAATTACAGAAAGCCTACCGAAAGGGACTACTTCAACCACAAAGCTGTTATTATCAGCTTAACATAGTCTGAGAGAGGGTTACACATGTCCATCACTGTTAAGCTCAACTTTGTCAAGTCATGTTAAAGCACTATGTAACTATATCATGGGATTATATGTGGCAACTCTGGAAAGTAGTGCCAAATGATGTAGTAATGCTTCAAAGAGTAGATGACAATTTTGATGATGAAATAATCAGTGAAGTTGTTTTAAAAGCAAAAGTGAGGTGTGTTATTGTCAGTTTTTGGATTATCCTATTTTTTTTTCCCTTTTCTCTCTATTTTTTTAGATCAAACCATGGGTCTTATCCATATCCTAAATAGTGAAGAATCAACTAAACCTTCAGAGTCCTCCATTGTTAGAATTGGCTTAAATCCAAACTCACCATTTGCCTTGTTCTGTTTCAAAAGGGTCTAAAACTGTCAACATATCCAGGCCAAATGTACATCCAGAGAAACATCCCTTGGAGGAGGATGCAGTTGACCTCTGCCTCTCCTTCACCTCTGTAGGAATGTCAGAACGTGATACTCTTCCTGTTGCTTCAGAAAACAAAAGTGGCCGGTTCAGGTCAAACTCTGGACAGTTGCACCTTTTGCATCCTTTTACTGTTGTTTGGTTGCAAAGTCAAAGTGTTACTCTCTCTCCCAAAAGGACATGTTTTATAGCGAACGTAACTGCGTCGAAGGGGGATAGAAAAGTTCATCCTTTTTAACACCATGTTTGACTGCGAGAGTTAACATACTTAAAGGGTGTGAAACAAAGCAGTTGGACATTTTATTGGGAGGCAAGGAATCTATTAAGACAGCTTGGATTGCTTTCTTTATTAACAGTTTTGCAGCTGTTTAATTTTGTGGAGATGACATCAGGGTGTGATTTTATAAATGAGAACACATGCGTGAAGCATTTACACAGCAGGGATTTTAGTATGCTTATATAACATAGATTGTAAGGGTTTAAAAAATGTTGCTTTTACTACATCACTAAACAGTACATGCCCACAGTTTGATCACCAAGGGAATAAAGACATGCAGGGACATGTTCAAAGATACCTGATTGAGGACTCTGGGTGCCACCCTAAAACTATACACTTTAAGAGGCTATTTGCCATGTCAGAGGTGGATAAAAATAAACTTTTTGGACTATATGTTTCAACATAGTGTTCAGGCTTTTCAATGTAGTGCATGTTCTTTCTTTCTTTTTTACTTCAAATTGTCAAAGAAACTCCAATCATCTATAATACAGGACAGATGTGAGGGAAGAGTCCAGAAAAATGGCAGGCAAACTGCTTAACACTACAAACATTACCTAATCATTCATTTCTCAAAGTTAGGCAGTGCAAATAAGTTTGCTGTCTTAGTACTTTGATTGTGAACTTAGGCCAATAACTTTTCAAATCCATCAAGAAGGTATTAGTGATGGGCACGGCAGTTCTTCTAGATGTACTGAATCACTAGAATCAGTTCACTAAGAAGATTAGTTCAAAAGATTCGTTCACCAAATCACTTATTACTTGGCAGGAGAGGCCTGCAACCCCGACCTCCTGAACTGATACACAGCTGAACGTTTCAGGATTCAGTTCAATTCATAGTTTCTGGGACTGGGAGACAAGAGTGTTAGGTTGTGTTGCTTTGGAAAAAGTCATGATGTTTTAAGTGTACTGTCCTATTGTACACCATTTATCAGGTCTGCTCAGTAAATTGGGCTCAGTGAGTGATTTGTTCACTGGATGTTTAGAAGAATTCATATTGAGCATGCACCGTTCCCTCACGAACCGCTGCAATGATAGGATGCTGCGGGTTTAATGCACTATTTGTTACATTCTGTGTCCTATCGTATGCAAGTTGTTCGCAAAGTGATTCAGTCGTCGGTGCATGTGGTTCCTTGTTTGCTCGCTGCTGGCCTGGCAATGCTGTTTCTCACTTCAGCTCAACTGAAGTAAGAAATGAATGAATCACTCAAGGTAGTGATTCGGTTCAGTACGTTCACTTAAAAGATTTGGTTCTTTTGAACGAATCGTTCGCAAATGACACAACACTAGAAGGTATTAAATCAGTAGATTTTTCAAATGTTAGTAGTTATTTGTCATGATTGCAGGAGACAGGGTGAACACATTTTATTTGTGTGTGCACACATCTTCTATGGACAGCCCCCCAAATAAGTCAGTGTCCCAGGCCACCCTGATCAAAAAAGTCTGGATACGCCTCTGCAGCCCAAACACATCAACTGCTAGTTTGGCTGAAATATTGATCTTTGTGTAGTAGAATATTAACCCTTTTAGTCAAAAAACGTGTTGGATTTAATGAAAATACTAAAAAGTGGAGAAAAATCATTGTCGCTCATTCCTTGTTTAAATTGTGCATGACTGACAGGAAGAGACTGCTGCACTTAGTCATCCTCATCTCTTCACCTCTCATTAACACCAATATGTGTTGAGCTATCACTGTGTAGGCAGGGATTGTGACTGTCGGTGTGCTGTCACTTCAGTAAAAATAATGCAGCTTAGATGTATCAAAAACAGGAAAAATAAATGGAATTAATTTGATATATTGGAATTCTGGTACTTGTAGTGGTATGTGTGTTGGTCTGCGGACAAAGCCATTGTGGCAGCCAAGTCCAGGGAGGAGAGGCACCCTTTTACAGCAAACCTCAAGCCTTTGTCCTGGTCCATTAGCAATTCTTAGTGGGGAGGGACAACACAGCATCCTGCCTTTTAAGAGGGGATTCATGAGTTTGAAAGCTAAGATGGTTAACAAATCTTAACAAAAGTTATGGAGCCAATTTTGCAAGCTAAGTGTGAGTAAAACTTTTCCTTATAGTATAATGTAGAAACGACGTCGCTGCTTTCTAGGTTTAAGATTTTTGTTGCCACATATGAAGCCAAAGAACCCCAATAAATGCTGCAACATCCTACAATTAAATAGCAAAGAAGAAGCAGCAGCCTTTGACAATGAACTTATATGAGAGGATAACTATTTAAAGACACCTGTAGGTTATTTTAAGTCATTGTAAAAGAGTGACGACATGAGATCTATAGTTAGCATTAGCTTGCCACACAGTTCAAGGTTTTCCTCATATAGTTGAATAATATTGAGCTGGACAAGTCATGCATCCCTGACCTTTGACCCTGGACAGCACCAGATGACCCATAAATCTATGACCCTCGGGGCTTTATGGCCCATTCCCCTGTCATAGTCACAACGACCTGAACAGCACCTCACACCTGGTCTGCACCTTCTCACCCCTATAAAAACAAAAAAAACGCCCCATGCTAGCGGCGAGGTAGTCTATGACCAGCATGCCCTGACAATAACAGGATAGGGATGATGATCATCAGAACCAACGCCCGACGATAAAGCTGCATTCTTCTCTGGTCCAAACATGTCTTTAAGGAAAGGACCCATAAAACAAAGAATCTAGGCTAAGCTGAAAGCTGAATCTCACTCTGGACACTAGTCTAAGTCTAAAAACCCATTAAAAGGGGACAAATTTGAGCCCCAAGAAGTACCATAAAGTGAGGTACCAAAGGGGGCAAAGGGAAGGTCAGTCTCTAACTTACCGTCATTGATGACCATTGTTGAGAGCAGCTCTCACTGGTGTGTGAGCAACCTTATAAAAAGTAGGCATTCTCAAGGTTTAAATGACTTGCCAACGGGTATTAGCAGGACACAGGCTTAACAAAAGCCTCAGTTATAAAGGCCAATAAAAGTCTATCACTCTACTGTAACAACAATCCTTTTTTACGCCTTGAAAGAGGGTGGAAAAGGTCAACTGGTGGAGCAGTCAGCACATTGATATTGACTTAGCTAGATTGGCGCTGACAAACTCAGGTCAGACTGTGGGCTTGTTAGCCCTATAACCCTCCGATAACCCCTTTTACTGTTTAACTCTGACACATATGAGGCAGCTGAGGGCAAAGCTTCCAATCTAAGCGAAGTTTCAGACAACTTTCAAGCATTATGGTGAAATCTGCTCATGTGATACTCTGACTCACTCAAGATTTTGGTTTTGAATGGGAAAAGTTTAAATGAACAAAAGGAAAATGTTCAAGATTGATTTAACAAAAATGGTGATGAGATATGGTTACCTCTAAACTTTTCAACTCTGGCTTAAAATCTAATATCCTGACTCGCCAAACAGAAACACAGAGGTTAGAGTACTTAAATCCGAGTACATAATAACCGCCTGTGTTTAATTATTAGATTACAGTGTGTAAGGCAATTGCACAAAACCAACAACAGTAACTTATTAAACAGATGATGTCACTATGAACTGATTTATGGGAAGCAATCCATAAACATATCAACTGTCTGCCCATTTATTTCTGCTTTATTAAATTTTCCGCAACCCTATCATGTCACCACTGATGTCATTCACTCAGATCATCCAGTTTTCATTTAGCAGACCGTAATTCATGACAAACACTCCTCCGCTCTTCAAGACCAGGTGTCAGCACACTTGTTTCTCCACCTTATCAAATGTACTTTGCTGTCTAACTGCAAAACATCACACGATTGGGACAGCTCATATTTCACCCTCAATTTGACACCCTCTCACCTAGTTGTAAAAGCCGGACCTCATTGGGGGACAATGGGAAGTGGAGCAACAGAGCTCCTGAGGCTGTTAAAGGGAGGAAGCCCCTTTATTTGAGGACACTATAACTCAACAAAAGCCTGTGGCTGTCTGCACACAGAGCGGGCCCAGGATGAATGGGCTGCTCTTACACCACTCACTTCCATTGACAAAAGCGGCAGATCAGCAAAGGGCACAGTCTGTCATGTGTGGTCTCCATGAACAAACTCGAGGAGAATACAGACGTAAAATCTCCAAACAGCCACCTAAGCTGACGAGTTAAAGCAAATGCTCTCTGTTTTCGCCATTTTCATTTCTTCAAAGAGACCTCCACGTTTTTTTCCTCATGACCACAAAAACTAAAACATGCGTGTGAAAAATTTTAATCACACCTGCTCAAACAGCACCCTGTCAACGTCTGCGTCCAATATTTTGAATGTAAAAACCCTAACAAAATTTTACGCCTATGACTGCACACTCCCAGAAAGCCTAACCCACACACCACTTAAACCTCACACCTCACACATCTGGACTTTCCTCCTCAACTTTCCACAAAGTTCAACTGTATATCCTTCTCATGGCAGGGAAACTATTTCCTGTGTGTTTCCAGCCCTAGGCTCAAACAGACACATGAATAAGGCCGCCGTAACAAAACAGGCAATAATCGTCCAAGTGCTATAAGCAGGTCGCTGAGAAGAAGGAGGGATGCGTTTTTTTTTTTAGAAAGAAAGAAAGAAACAAGAAAGAGAAAGTTGGTGATTCCCACACGTGGAAACGTTTTTCCTGAGCCGCGCGGCTTCAAAAGGCAAACCGTGGAATCCAACAATACTGTGAAACAGTTAAGAGCTGCTCAGTCAGGATCCCACTAATGATTAACATTCCTGGAGAAACACGCCGTTACAGTCTTTTTAAGGCGTTCTAATTAAACACATGCTCCAGTGCCACAGCACAGAGGGAACTCTGACGACTGCGAGCAGGGATGCTTCTCCTCATCTCCAGCTCAGCTTAATTGGACTCAATTTAAGTCATTAAGTTGGTAGTAAAAACAGCAGAAAGAGCAGAGGAGAAGCCCAATGATCTCCACTGTAAGACTCCCTGTTGCTCTGATGCCGTTGACCCTTTCACCTCATCATGGGACTCACACCGTAACGTACAGAGAAAAATCCAATCGGTTTCATTATGAGATGTCTAACTGTAGGTTTAGTCTTGTCTGGCTTAAGGAATTTATTGATGTAATTGCATTATGTTTCTCAAATGGACTCACTTTACTGAAGAGGGTCAAAAGAGTTGAAGGTTATGCTGTATCTGACTGGCCTGAGCGTCTGTTAGGCAACTTGACTTTGTACAATCTTCTGTGTTGTTGCCATGATCTTTGCGCCCTGAGTCAGTGATCTGAGATAGATTTAAATGTCTTCAAGCCCCCTCTTCCACTTACTGTACATTGAACACACCAAAACAAAAAGAAAGAGCTCGTCATGTTTACAAAGGAAGAAGTTAAAAGTTATTCTGGTACATGTCAATCCCAAGTAGGCCACCAAGCCATGGTTGTTTTAATAAATTATGATGTTTGGCTGAGATTTATTGTCGACGTTAAGTATACCTGGCAGTCCTCTCTCAGTCCCCCAAATGATTCGATGGGATAGCAGTCCTGGGAAGGTTGAGTAACAAGCCAAAAAAGCAATTTTGATGTGTGTATCTTTTACTTATTCTGGTCTCTGCTCACCAGTTCTATACTCAGTGAAAGAAGCTAAGTGCAAATGTTGTTGCAATTAGGACAAGAGCGATAAAAGTAATTAGGGCTGTCCCGATACAATATTGATATCAGATATCGGTCCGATATCAGCCAAAAAACAAATATCGGATTATATCGTCCTGCATCTAAAATCTCTGATATCAGCACTCCGATACAAGCAGTCCATTCCAGACTTCACTCCAGAGAAGGAGTGATGTAGGCTGTGTGGCAGTATTTTTCGTTTAAAGTCCAAAAATGACATTGCATCTGAGTGCAAAACTTCATGCACAAGTTTGTGCCATTATCACATCAATATTGGTATCAGCCGATACTGAAGGCTGCAGTATCTGTATCGTATCGTATCGGAGGTAAAAAAGGTTGTATCGGGACACCCCTAAAAATAAATGTAACCTTTATAACCTCATGTAACCTTTCCACAAGAGTTTCAGGGAAAAGTCTAATACCTCTACTCACTGCGTGTATCAAAAGTGAGCACCAAGCACACTGCTCTTGTACTTCTTATCAATTAATTCATAGTTTGTTATTCAGAATTTGGGGCCAGGGAAAGCACTGAAACTTGAGCTGATTACCTATCCCATGTGAGTGAATGTAACTGCTGGCAAACCAAATGACTGTATTGTTAGAATCAGTGAGTTTCATGAAAATCTGTCACATTTAGATACAGCTTCTACAGAGTATCAGATGATTTCATTTTGGTTTGGCTGATAAAAATGTGAGGTCTTGTTCACAACAGCACTGTGACAGTGTGCTGTGTGAGTTCAGGCCAAGTCAGACAATCTACAGGCCTCTCTCAGTTGAGTAGATATACAGGTCGTACATGGGGTCATCAATGCCTGTGTGTGGGTGTGGGTGTGTGTAATGGAAAAAGGACTGCCTTATCAAACCCTAATTTAAGTATATCAGTCCTCTGTGGGGAATTTATTCTGAGGAACCCCAGGCCTGTGAAATACATGTGTTTCTGTCAACATCAGTGAGGTATTTTTGGTGCTGCTAACACTAAAGTCTCTAAAGACAACAAATATTCTCAGTCAGCATCACAGACCTGCAGAAAAAGACCACAAAGAGGACTTACAACCTGACTTTTCTTTGGCTTTGTTTCTTTTTGAACATCATAAAACATTCACTTTGACAGGTTCAAATATGTGTCTTTGCTTGTGGACAGGACACGCAGCTGTACACATCTGGTAAGCCACCGCTCTTGTTTTCTTTGGGAGCCCGGCCCCTAACAGGAAGACAGTGCGAGCATAGCAAACAAAAGCCCGGCTCTTTGAACCGTCCTCTCACCAGGAGCTGCCGTCAGGTTTGTTGTGGCCAAACGAACTGTTTCTGTGTCAGCTCAGCAGGCCTCAGGCTGCCACTCCACAAGACATGTCCTCAGATAGTCTTTGTCAATATTGACACATCTGTATGTTCACCTACACCACAACTTTTTCTGTGATCGTTCTCCAACTGATAATAAAACATGTTCTCTAAAACTCAACCTCTGCGATAAAAAACTTAAAACGCCCTTCAAATCTCTGGCTCTTGAATTTAAAAAATAGTTTAAGCATCAAATGCAGCAGCAGAACTGACTTAGAATGCAATTTTGCTCCTTATCACGGACAAATATATAATGCTGCCTGTCCACAGCTAAGAGACTTAAGCTGAGAGATAATTTGAGAAAACACATACTGCAATTCAAATGTTGGAGAGGAGCCTGGTGGTTAACTGTATGCTGCTAATGCAAACTTTTTCGCATTGTGAAAGTTCTCACAGGAGATCAGTATCAAGTTTTCTTTGTCAAGAAACACCGACCACACATTCAGAGGATAAAAACAGCAAAGATTGCTCTGTCTGCAGGGGGCGCCATAATTGTCAAAACCCCAAAGTGCCTCATTGGAGCTTTAAGGTTACACAGAGGAAAGCTGTTTTGCATTTAAGATCACTTTTGCTTCATAAACTGATTTCAGCATCTACCCTGACTCTGGCACAGAGCTTGATCACTGTGGTAAACTACAGAACAAGATAATATAAATTTTAATATGCAACACCTCTGATGCAAAACTATTTCTCCAGATAAAAATCTAAAGGGTTTGTGGGGTCAAAGGAGATGCCCATGAAAAGTCAAAACAATGACATTGTAAATCTTTTAATTATGGATACTATCTGATGTTTTTGGCCGCTTTGTTTTTTCTTTTTTTTTTATCTTTTTGTCTTTAAATTGCTTTACTGACGATTTTCACTTTTTTTCTTTGAATGATAGCATACTATCTCATAAATTTAACTTTTTATTTAAAAATTTGGACTTACTTTCACATAATTGTGATGTTTTTTATCTCACTGTTTTGGCTTTTTATGTGAATTTTTACCTTTATCTGACAGTTTTTGTATTTTTCTAACCTCATTATTGCAACTTTTTAAAGCCCTTGTAAGAGACGTTTTTGTTTTTTTGCCCATCTTGGTGCCGTTTGCTTATCTTGTCATGTACATGTTTCAGTAGTGTCCTCTCACATAAAAAAAAAACTCATCCTGCAAAATTTAGGTGGAAAATGTAATAACAGATCTATTTCTTAAGCTACTTGGCTGACACCTACCCTTTTGTACCAGTTTCAGGCTTTCAAAATGACAGTGTAAAAGTCATCAATACTGTCACTGGCTGTTTTATTTGCTTTTGTACATCATAGAAATATATATCATCATACTGCCATAAAAAACTCCTCACAGGAGCTTTAATAACAACAACAACAATGAGGTAGAAATTGGTTTCCATAATCTTAAAATGTGGTTTTCATACACTTTATAAATAGTTGCTGTTCATTCACCAGAGTAAACTTGACGTGTGGCAAAACCTGTCCTCTATGAAACCAAAACTATGTGAAATATGAGGGTCAAAGTTTTAATGAGTAAATATACTGAGAGAAATAGCATCAGAATCCACAGGCTGTGACTGCAACCTTTCTAAAAAACTTCAGGAAATTCCTTTGGTGTCTGCCAAAAAAATCCCTTGCCCTGCAGAGTCCATTTTTAAGCCCTGTTGACCTTTTCCATATCATCCACGCTCGCTGACTCCACCTCTGTGACAATGCCAACAGTGCAGGAGGAATGAGAGCCCCAGGAAGGGGAGAGCTGTGTGTGCATGTGTGTGTTTTGCATATTTCCAGCCATGGGTCCGGAAAGCTTTAACCGAATCCCCTGTTGTGTGCCGGGGAAATGAGCTGGACTTTTAATCACTATCTGAGGCTAATATGTTTTCTTTTGCTCCTAGCTCTTGCTGCCTGTGATGACTTGGATGGATCATTGTGTTTGTGGAGCACAGAGGAGAAAACATGGCCCTCCTGCATGCAGCCATGTCTGTGTCAGTCTGGGTCAGATAAAATTTCCAAACACTCCATCACCAGGGTTTCTGACATTTGGCATCCCTCCGACTGTTATTCCCCTTTATCAGAGACAGACATGTCGATAATAACCACTTCTGCGGCGCTGCAAAGGTTCTACTGCATCATGCCTATACTTGGTGGTGATAATGAAACATGTGTGTCGAGTTGAACTTTCATCATCGTGGTGGTCTGATGGTTAGCCCCGCAATTACGCCTCGTGGTAACCAGAGATCTGCAGGGGCATTAAACTCCAGTGTGAGAGCCAAACCCGTTTCCCTCTTAACATCATCCCGCAGCTCCTAATAAACAGAGTTGTGCCTGGAAGCGCTACATCACTAGCTACCTTTAATCACTTTAGAATAATGCTTTGCATGTGGATCCAATGTGTGCCACTGCTGCAGGCAGATCCCCCAGACTCATGTAAATGTGAATTGCACGGCAAGCACAATGTTAATAATCCCCCTCACAGACAGCATCATCCAGGATGGTTATCCTAATCGACACAGCTGCACATTCGCAGTGCCCTAAATTTGACCATCCAGGCCAGAGTCCATTCAGTCAAAGCCCAGTGGACGCAGATTCAGGGACCACCAGCGTTCAAACAAGTCCTACTTCATCCAGGCTGCTGCCAACCTACCACAAACAGTTTACAGTCAGGGTGCTCCCCTCTCTGCAGTTTGTCTACAGCAACCTGACTCCACGCCACATCTCCTCCATCCACAGCCGTGGAAGACTGGCCTCCTCTGACAGCTCCTCACAACGCACAAGGCCTGTCCTGCTCCGATTTTAGCCCTGCTGTGGTGAGCCGGACCACGTCTGGGGATAAAAGGCTGCCAGAGTGTTTGGCTTGCAGGCGATTTACACGGACGTGAGGGTGATTCATTCTAGCTCTGCACAAACAGGCCTCTGTGTACATTTCACTGGTACCGGGCCTTTAAATCAACAGTGGGGAACGTATACACGCGGGCACTGGGACCTACATTCGGCTCAGGGACACACAGCTGGAGCATAGACTTTCTGACACATACAGACAGCCATGTACATACATCAGTTACCACTTTGTCTCTGCTCTTCTGTTTCTCTCAGACAAACACCGACATATACCCAGCAGTTTATGTTTGAGACTGGCTGCCATTTGTCTCCACCACCAGCACTCCTGCTCTGCTCTCGTATAATGGCACACAACTGTAGCTAGCCTCTCTAGTTAAACATTTCATTATGATGTGCCCATTCAATAAACAAGTTTTTTTTTTTTTTTTTTTGCTGCTCAGCCCTAATCCACATTAAACCATCATATATTCCACATTTATTGAGCAGGAACTGTTAAACATCAAACGAGCCAAACATTTTCCATTGCTTTATCCAAGAAAATTCAGTATAAGGCCTTTTTTTAAATACTTTTCTTTATATTCTCCCCGCGTCCAAACTCCAATCAAGAACAATCAGTTTTTAAAGCTGTTTGAATTATTAATGTAACTTTGATTTACCGCAAGTTTTTCCAAATGAGTCCTGAAACAAGCAGAACGTGACACGTGGAGCTGCTGCCAGAACACTTCTTAGAAATCATTTTGGTCTATAAATAACTTAAAACTCTCAGAGATCTCTCACCTGCTACAGATGAGTGAAAGCTAGAGTGTAAGCTCAGTGTAAATCTCTGCTCTCTCACATGCCTGGTCTGCAAGGTCACTGGAGCATTAAACAAGTGAAACTGTGCAGTGTCAGACCCAGATTTTAGCACATATATTGATCCTTTTCATAACATGTACCAATAACTACAGTGACGCTATTGATTAGAACTCGCCAGACGACACAGAACATGTGTTTTAACATCAGACGCCGCCTCTCAAATGACCTCATTTAGTCTTTGTCTGTACCTACATTAAAAGATATGGTATCACTTCACTTGACGCTTATCTCTATTACACATTATAAATATATGTATAATGCATTATAATCATGTTATGGAACTGTATAACTATAGTTATAAACACTCATAAATGATCATAATGCTTTATAGCAATAATCAAAACACATTATCAAGCATTTTATCATGACTTACATGATAAATGTGTTGTGCTTATTGTTATAAAGCCTTGTGAAAATTAATGAGTGTTTATAATGATAGTTGTACAAGTTTATAAGCAAAGTAAAACACATTATAAATATATGTGTAATGCACTATGTATGTGTGCATTGTCAGTGAGTTGTTAACGGTTATAACACATTAGACTTTTAACTGGTTTTAGTCGACGGCATCACATCACCCCAATTTTAGCCTCCCTTCACTGGCTCCCTGTCAGCTTTAGAATTGATTTTAAGATTTTATTGATTACTTTTAAAGCGCTCAAAGGACTTACTCCGAGCTACATTTCAGAGCTTTTAATATCTTATGAGCCAACTCGCAGCCTCAGATCCTCTGGCGAAGGCCTCCTGGTCGTTCCAAAATCGAGGCTCAAGACTAAAGGTGATAGAGCTTTCTCCATCAGAGCTCCTCGACTTTGGAACGACCTGCCAGAGGAGATAAGGCGTGCAGAGACAGTCGCTTCTTTTAAGTCAATTTTAAAAACTCACTTTTACAGACTTGCCTTTATGTGATGCCATCTTTCATCTTTTATTGCCTTTTACCGTTTTTATTTTTCTCCTTTTTCTTTTACCTCTTTCACCTCTTTCTTATTTAGACTTACTGCCTTTTTAGCCTTTGTTTTACTTATAATCTTTTTATTGATTTTAATGTTTTCATTTTCCTTTATTTTATATATATATACTTAATTCCACTTTATCATTTATATTACCATCATTTTATTTTATTATGATTTTATTAATATTATTATTAATATCCTCTTTCATACTTACTAGCCTGTTTTCTTCCCTCCTTTTCTATTTCTTTTTTTTGCTTTTATTTTGGTCCTCATGGTCCCATTTATTTTGTAGGGTTCTTGTATTGCCTGGGTTTCTTACGAAAAGTGAAACAGGCCTACAATTCAGAGGCCTGTTTTTAACTGAGCTTTGTTTTTATGTGTTTTTATTTTCAATGTGCTGATGCTCTGTGCTTACAACTGTTGTCTAAGCACTTTGTAAACTTCTGTTTTTAAAGGTGCTATATAAATAAAATTATTATTATTATTATTATTATTATTATAATACCTGACCTTGTAAGTCATGATAAAATGCTTTAGTTATACAGTGCTATAACGTGATTATAACACATTATACATATATTTATAATGTGTTATAGAGATAGGCGTCAAGTAAAGTGATACCAAAGATATAAATAACCATAAAGGGTTGTTCTTTAGCTTTGATATGCACACACAAAAAATGTGTTAATTCAGACAAATCTTCATGAAAAGTAATTAAACCAACAGTAGGAATAGATTGCAAAGTCAATGTCCTTTAGTGCAGTGGTTCTTAACTGGTCTCACCCTGGGACCCACATTTTCCCATGGTCCTTAAGTCGCGACCCACTTTTATAGAATTCAAACAAAGCATATTTATTTTTTATAAAATGAAACATGTAGAGACTCTAATCTTTAACATAGAGCCACTTGTTTTATTGAGTAAAGAGCATTTCAGAGCGCATGAAGGGGATAACATGAGGACGACAACTACTGAAGTTGCATATACAGAAAATATCAAATATCTAATAAATATCGCATTAAATATTTACTTTTTGACCAGCTGTTCCTGACCCATCCAGAACATGTCAGCGACCCACTTGTGAGTCGGGACCCACCAGTTGAGAACCACTGTTTTAGTGACTCTCTCACACTCAGATGTCAGCCTCGTTTCCAACCACTAGGTGACACTACCACCTTGGTTCTGTTTATCGTCCTCCTCTCTCATTCAGAGAGCTTCTGTCTCTCCCCTCGACCTTAACTGTCTCAAAATGAGAAAAAAAATCATCATTGTGAAAAACTCTGCAACCATAAAAGTGCTTTGAACAACTTTTTAGTGCAAATACAGCAAAATTTGGCACTTTGATGTTGCATCTTTGACATTATGCAGAACCTGCAGATAATCTTCCTCCTTTGTTCTGTCAAAGTGCTCCATGAATATTTCCACTCATTTACATTCATTTGACTTGCTTTGTTCGCAGTATCACAAAAGGCTTCACAATCTATCAGACATCTCCACATAAAGACCACACCACCACCCAGGACAGTTTTTTTCACCTAGATGTCAAGGCTCCAGGTTGAACTGTCCTGGTATTAGTAAAGTGCACTCTTATTGTCAGCTGTGACCACAGTGGCAGGTTTCAGGTCATCCTGTCAGTCCTCTAAGAGAAAACACACATAACTCAATGGTTTTTAGGGCTGTTTGATACATAGCTATGATTTTATATGACAATAACAACTCTACTATTACAACATTTCATCACTTTGGTGGAGGATGGAAATGTTTAAAGTTGAGGGTGTGTCACTCTTCTCCAAGGGAAACACTTTATGGCATGTTTAGCTCAGCAAGAAGTCCACAAGGAGTGATGAAGTCAGTAAAGCTTGCAGGGTACTTTTTACTCAGGCAGCTGTCTGCACGGTCCGCACTCTACAAGGTGTTAGAGGCTAAAACCATTCTGTGTTAAGATATTTCAGTCTCTGGCTTCTCCACATGATTTTGTTTAACCTATAAACACGGATACAACATCTATAAACATTTTTTAAGATCATATCTGTCCTGAATTCTCTTAAAACTTACAATTTACTGACTTTAATAAAACATTTCAGGGTGAAATCAAACACTAAAAACTCTCCTCTGGGCGTATATTTCTTGCAGCTGGTGCATTTTCTCCAGGTTCAGCCTCTCTCACCGTATCCATCATGCTAAGAATTGCAGAAAGTGAGTGTAACTTCTCATACTGTAGGTGGTATGTGTGACCACATTCCCCCCTTCACTCAACAGCCCTCCTGACAGCTATGGAGCCCTGCAGTGGCTGACGAGCAGCGCTCACAGAGCAGCAGACCAGTTGTCACCAAAGTGACAGGCGACAGCTGAGTCCATACATCTGGAGGCCCCCGGGGACTCCACACTTCCACCCGCCCCACGTCGTCTCGAGCCAAGTTTTTTTTTTTTTCTTTTTCGTCAGTGTCACAGAGAAATGAGGTTACTGTGGCTGCACGCGCAGGGAAAAGTGAAATCTTTGGAGACGGCGCTGCGTAAAAGCGCAGAGCAGCAGGACAGGAGGAAGGAATCAACGCGAGTTTATGACTTTTTTGGTGTGACAGAAGCAGCCAGTGACCTCAGTGAAGTCTAACAAATGGAAGTTGGGGTTGTTTAGTTATAGGTGCTGCTCGTTTTGCTAAAAAAAAACACCTACATTGAAGCAGCATGTAGCTTTTATACATTTCGAGCATTTCACGTTTACAGCGCAAAACTTAACACCAAAAAAGTGAGGAAAAAGGGTTAAACACTGACAAGAAACGTTTAAAAACAACCTTGTGAAATCAGAAAATGCGTCCACTCACCTCAAAGGTTTCAGACCAAGTAAACCAAGAATCCGAGTCTTATATTCCTGAAGTGAGAACAACAATTCACGCTACGTCTCATTGGCATGTGATGAAAAAGTCCAGAGAACGGAACCCGGAGCTGCTTCAAAGTCAGCGGCTTTAAATTCCAGGTCCTGGTCGCAGTGAGTGGAGACTAGGAGCGCTTCTCTGACTTCTCACACACTGTCACCACATCGCAGTTCAGCGGCGGCGGCGCACGGTGCGCTGTGGTGCCCCTCTCGGCGGTCACAGTGAGATGACATTAACGTTACTCCCTGCCTATTGGCTTAAACACGCAGCCCCCACCGCCAATCCTGGAGAGACGGAGCAGCGTGGAGCACAGTGGACAAACGCTCCTGTGGGTTTAACTCGTGCTGCAGAGGGGGAGTTTAAAATGTTTGTGTAGTTTAAGTGCTAAGAAACGACGAAGTGGCTTAATCGCCTTCTGTTGGCTTTACCTCAGGGCTGCCTTCACCTCTGTTTGAACTTTTACATTTCACTCAGCAACATCTGAACCCAATAATCTTAAATTTTCATGTTTTTCTTCATCAAATATAAAACAGGCTGCACATGTTCATCCATTACATAAGACTTGATGTGCAAACGTGCCCTCTTTTGTTTTTTTCCACCTCCACATGCAGTTTTTCACCCACTGTAGTAGACATATGATCTTCTTTGGAAACCTATTTGTCCCTCTTGCCATGTATATCAAAACACCACAATGTGCTTCATGCTCTCCCACAAAGGCTGTGTAACATTACCCTTATATACAACAGCCATGAAAGGTAAGTCTATACGCAGACGCTAAAAAGAGACCGCTGCCAAACAGTTTATCGAATTATAATGTTCTGAGATGATCAAAGCTTCACAAAGAATGGCCACCACCCATAAATCAGAGCAGGATTACAAAACATGATGGATGTATACAGAAGTGGACAAAGTACACAACTATTACATGAGTCATAGTAGAGAAACTCCTGGTCAAATGCTACTCTAGAACAAGAGAAAGTTTTTACCACTTGCTTTTGAAAGTACAACAATTTCTAAAAGATCTCGTACATTGTTGTATTTTCACCAAATATTCACGCATTTAAGAATACTCCTGCGTTAGGGTCTACACCGACCCATTTTTGTTTTTAAATGCTTAAAAGAACCACTTAAATTAGCTTTTTTGCATTAAGACTTTTTGACTTTGTCAGGAACCTCTATTTAAAAAATATATATATTTTTTTAAATTGACTAAATTATAAAATGCTCTTATTAAAATTATGGTACTTGTTGTGTGAGGGTTGCTGTTGACCCGGTTAGATCAATATCAAAAAATTAGAGCAAAAACTAAAATCACAAGTGCACTGACAGTCAGATCCTCTTCCAATCATGTGAGATTTAGTAAATTCTCATTTTTCCATGTTTTTCGCTGCACAAAAAACGACAGGCATGTCCAGACATGTGAGATCAATTCAGTATGGATGTCTGTGTTAGGGGTATACTGACACTACAAAAACTATTGTAAGCAATATTTTCATAGATAATGAAGCCTAACAAGGTAACCTAGAGATGAGAACCAAATTGGATGATATTGAATTGTTTTGAGTGTAATTTACAGCTGATTTAAGACACGGGTCAACACTGACCCTTAACATGGTGGGTGTGCAGTAAAAGCTAACACAGGAGGAAGGTTAAGAATACACCAGTGCAAATTCTGCTATGTCACATTTATTTATAGAACATCAGCTACACTTTCAACCTCAGATTTTTTAGATTTTACAGATTTTACCAAAAATAATTCCAAAGTGAAGTACAGATACCCAAAAATGTGCTCAAGTACTGTTATCAAGTAAATGTGTTGCTGTCACCACCGTATGTACAGAGTCAAAGCTCGTTCTTTTGTGAATTTTATTTTGCCTGCAGAATCTGACCACTGCATGGCCTCACTGCAGTCGGTCACACGTGGTGACAGTCAAAATACAACCAAGATAAGAATTTTGATCGGTGATCCTTTAAAGAGCTCCCTGACCTGCTGTGACCCAGATAAGACCTTTCCGTGACATCGGGAGTGACACTGCAGCCCCAAACAGCTCAACTTTTCATGGTTCCTTTCTGGTCTTTGAAATCAAGATCTGAAATGTCTTTAAGATTCTGCTGCCTTTAAAACACAAACTACCGATACATGAAACATAAATGTGACAAATGCACTGATTTGACAGGGTGCCCTCTGACCTCCTTCCCTTGAGCAGACGCTACACCCCTGCCTGACCCGGGTTACGACCTGCTGACCGTCTCATACATCTGACTGTGTGAATGCGGCTTAAGTAAGAACACATTCAGCCGGCTCAAGGCTGTCAGTCATTCTCTGTGCAGACTTGGCATACAGCGGAGAAACACATTGCAGAGCCAGATCTTATGTGGACCAGATGGATGATATGAGTGTCTTTTTGGTTCCACACTTCACTGCAGTAACTCACAGTGAATCTTTTTTGTCTGTCAGAGCTGCAGATATAAAGAGATATGTATGAGCCTATCTGACGGGGTGTTCGATGAGTGTTCAGCCCATCACTTCACCTCACATAGGCTGGGTATCTAAACTCTAAAATATCTTGTGATGTCTCTCATTTTTCCCTCAGAGACACAATCCAAAATATCTGAATTTATTCTGTAATATATTTTGTATATGACCAAGGTTTGGGACCGTAAACTTTTAACTTTATCCTCATGAAAGTTTAACTTAGGTTCATTTTGTTTATTCAAAATTATACCTACAATTTTAAGTCCTAAAAACACACTAGGCCAAAATGCAGTCATACTTGAAATAAAGTAGAATTACTCATGACTCAACAGCTAAAAGGATGACAGTTCAAAAGAAAAAGTTGATTATTTCTAGGAGTCTTTTTGCCCTGGACTAAAATGTTTGACTAGTTAGACCTGAATGTTTGAACCCTTCCTCATCACTTATCTCACCTCGTCTCTGAGCTTATCTCGAGCTTATCTAATGAGATTTATGGCGGTGTTGGAAAAAAAAATCTCAGAGCAGCATCTCTTACATGTCTTTGGACCATAAAGATGCTCGGCATTCTTACCAGCGTTCCTCTTCCGTGGCTTTTCCAATCTATTCTGAAGCACAAATCAGCTTATGATGCATGGTATTTTCTTCTTTTATAGTCCTCCTGTTTTTATATAGATCCATTAAAAAAAAATACTATGACCTTATTCCTTTTTTTATTTCACTCTACAGTCTCTACAGCATGTCTGTCCTTCTAAAGAAGCTCTCCTCTATGAATTATTTAAAGACACTTCCTATCGTGAACCTATGCCTTCCAAGCTCTTGCAGAAACGGTAATGGAGTACTTTCCAAAGCCAGTCTATGACTCGAAGACCCAGTTTTACAAGCTTGTGGGAATTCTACTTCCAGCTCTTGTGAATCCCATTTACATCTATATTTTATACCCAGGAAAGTGTAAATGCATCTGTAGAGAGGTATAAATTCAGGAACTAAGAGTTTTACTGCCAAGGTTTTTTTGATATTTGACTTGAAATTACAGCAATTAGTCTGTGTGGAAGATACAACTCTGTATTTATCACATCAAGCCACCAAACAGTGATGTACTTATACCTTTGGTTGCTAGGTCGAGTGAGGATATTTGCTTGGGTGTTAGTGAGGTCTTAATCAAGTGGCGGCTCTGCCTTTCATGTTTGCTCTACTTTTTATGTGTGGCTGCATGTTTGCTTGGGCCCACCGTGAGTGAAAATTAAGCCGCTAATTTTGCTGAGATGGGTAGATTTTTTCTTTACTATGCAAGTTAAGACTTCCTGTAACCTACTGGGGTATTTGCATGAGAGATAAAGAGATACAGATGGAAAGGGTGTCTGCTCTAGAAACATATTCCATATGCAGCCTTCCCTGAGATATGTGCTAATTGCTTGTTTCTGCTACATTACTCCCACAAAGAAAGAAAATAGAGCCATATTGAGGTGCATTCAGACAAATTGGGAGGGGATTCTTTCTCTATGGGGATCTTGTTTCAGTGAGTTTACACAGGAAATCTCCAGTCCAAACAAAGGCAGGAAAACAAATAAACAAGTGACCGAGGCTGATGGCTCGGGGCTGGGGCCAAAGGCGGGACCAGTCATTGGAGCAGCTGGACCTCTTGACCAGTCACCTGGCTGCTGGCCATACTCAAACACTGGCAACCAATTAGGGACCATGGGTCATTCCAGAGCCCCAAAAGGCCCGACTTCACTCAGTCTGTTGACTCGATTTGTTTTTGAACGGCCTGCCTCAGATTGACAAATGGGCCTTCATTACTAAAACAAACAAGCTAATGCAGGAGCTGGAGATACAGTGGCTCAGTGAGGTTTTCATTGCTCTCTCTTGCTTCTGCAGACTCCCACAAAGGCGAGCTATCACAGACTCCAGGGCCTTCATGATATGCTGACTGTATTGGCATTCAGTTTTGTTTGTTGATCAAGCACTCTGTGAATACCAGACCATTATAATTGATATGCTGCACTTGAGTCTTTGTAGTCTCCAAGCGGCTCTTGCTCCAGCTTTCCCAAAATAACTACAAAACAGCCATTGAAACAAGAGAAGGCTTGTTTGCTTGCAGCATGCTAATTATGGAATTGTTACAGGGTAGAAGTAGAAAACAAATGTTCATATCGGTGTCATGAAATCTACTAGTCCTATCCATTTATCTCTACTGGGTTTTGCTAGGGCCATGGCCCACATTCTTACCCCTAATTTCAACCTCATCCAGAATGGCTGCGAAAAGGCCGTATGTGCCGATCGCAGCTGATCGTTTCCATTTAAGTTAATGTGTCAATTTCCACTGCCTTCTTTCCGTGCTGCTTTGGATCAGTGGACTCTGCAGCCGATCGCAAGAGTTCTATTTTTTTTTCTGGACGCCACAGCATGCCGTATAAATTCAGCACAGATTAACCTTTGCTGGAAAGGAAGTCGGGCACAGACACAAAATAAAACATCCGGCTTCTTTTCAAAATAAAACTCTACACGTGCAAATGGTCGGGGACGCAAAATCGAAAGGTTTTCAGACAGCATTTCACCCCGTTGGCACCATGGACGAGGAGATGCTGATTCTAGAAGTCTAGAAGTGGATTTCCTCCTCTGGAAGGACACAATCTACTGCTTATATAGTTATGTGACTGTCTTTATGGAGACAACTCGTAATCGCGCGATTGCATGTGAATCTGCAGATTCTTTTGTGTTTTTGCAATTCCCGCTGTCCGAAATCCGCCATGAAATTCGCCTCACAAACGCATCTGGTAGGAATTGGCAGACGGCGAAAATCGCCCCCGTTCCGTAGCAGAGCTGTTCTGGATGCGACGGAAATTGGGGGTTGGATCTTCAGGGGATCCCATCTGATATTTTAAAGGATTAGCTGTAAAGTTCAAGTAGATAGAGCCTTTGCCTTTAGAGCCTCTTAATTTTGTAAAGACCAGTTGAACCAAGTGGCGACCAAATGAAGTGAATGGGAGTGTCACCCAATGACTGACGACTTCTTATTCCTTGTCTGTTGAGGTTATTTCAGAACACATTTTACTTCACATTGGAACAGTGATTCAAAATTAATGTCTTTCCCTGCTATTGTATCCAACATCTGCGATCATACTTATACTTTTCTTCCCAACAGCAGTTTATGAAGGAGTATCATCCTTAAAAAATGATTCAAATACAGATTCAACTCTCCTGTATGCTACAGAAAGTTAACATTTGCATGAACTTTTCCCCCCGTAGCTCATATATAGTACTATATTCAAGGCATTCCCATGTGGCATGAACAAGTTATGATGACATTTCTGAGTCATATGCAAAAAAGTAAAATTGTATGACTGAATTTTCAACAAGCCAGACACCTTTACCTCTCATGTACCCATCCACAGTCCACTTAGAAGTGAGGCGGTCTACATCTGCATAACATGACTTTGATCTTTGGCCAATTTGAGGGGCTTTGAGTTGGGTAATTTCAGACAGGAATGTGCATGTGCAGCTGTAAAGGCCGAAGGATTGCAAAAGCTGATGTGCACAATGCTCTCCCAGTCTCAGGTACTCTGACTGAAGAGGGTTTGTAGGCCAACAGGCAGGAGAAGGAGAGAGCAGAAGGAAAGACAAACACTGAGAGGCTTCGACTGAGCCATGCCAACAAACACATCAGACTTGGATGTATTATTCTCTGCATGCAGACGAATTTCCCTGCTGAATTTTTCACGCCCCTTGTAAATTTATGCGTCAAACATAAATTGCGATCGGATCAGACCCTTATGTTAACTCTCTTCCGCTTCTCTTTTTTCCATCTGCGTCCTCCCCCAGCCTTTCATTCTCATCCCAGACATTGAAATCCTTCTGCTATTAATTCCCAAAGCACAGTACTGGAGCTCCTTTAGGCATGCTGCATTCCCCAGTCCAGTACTCTGTCGCCTGTGAGATAGCCCAGAACACACAACCTGCACTACTATTAAGATTCCTTATGTTACCCAGATAAGGGACATACAAGGATCTCTGCTTTCTCTCTGCCTCCTCTTTCTTCTCTTCTGTCTATACTGTCTCCCTTCCTTCCTCTTCCTCTGTGTCTTCTCTAAGTAATCCTTATGCATCTGTATTAGCTCTGTCTACTTCCCTGTCCAAGTTTTCAGACCTTGTCTAATCAGAATGAGCACACTGGCTGTGGTGTTTGGTTTCTCTATCACTGTTGGTGGCTCTTTAACACTTTGCTTTTTTGGCACTCTGCGCTGTAATATACACCTCCTGAGGGATCACTCCAGCAGTAGTTATACCCTTGTTAAAAGCACTCGGAAAGACTGATGGTATACTCCAGGCGATGTGTCATGTATAGATATACCCACATTTGTACTATTGCGACTCCAGGGCATAGACTGATGAAGAAATTCACACCCTTTAACACTCAACACAAGCTCGAGAATTGCCCTGGTTGAGAGATGTCGCCTGGAAGCTATTTGTATAAATTCTTACCCTGGGAATATAATCCCTTTCCAGCATTATCCTCTCTTTACTTGGCAATGGGAACCATTCGCGAAAGGCCAACCCAATGGATAGTATCTGTTTCCCTCATAACAGGGGCTGTACATCTTCAGCTGCAATCCTGTGCAGCTTTCAGCAGCACTAGGCTGTAATTTAATGTGTGCCTGTGGAATTCAGTGCCGGGTCATATTGCTTTCAGTAAAATACCATCAACAGCTTTGTTCCGCCAGAAAAAAATACATTAACAAAATGAGGTCAGCCGCCCTCCTGAGCGACACTTTAGGTGCAACACATTACTTTTTTTACAGTCTGAGCAAGGCCAGATAACCCGATTTACATTCCAGGTTCTAGTACCAGGACCAGAATGTTTCTGCGCTTTACTTCAACTTGTGGCACGAGGATTGCAGAGTCTGCTCTGATGAAAGGTGTATTTCCAAGTCCATTTCATGTTCTCAAAGATCTGTCTCCTGAGGATCATCAACAGGGGTTGCGCCGGCATAATTCTGTCTGCACTTTGAGACTGACAGGCTGATGGAGGAATGTTTTTAGGGGGGAAGAGGGGTGGTCTTGGAAAGGTAGTCTAAAGGTAGCCTCTCTGAGGAATCTTCCCCATTCCCCAAATTCCTTGGCAACCTGCTTCAGCAGAACAATTGGAGATGCTTATTTGTCCAGCAGTATTTCTGCAACTTACAGGAAAACTTTGGGCCCCTGCTCTGCACCCCTCTCCATAGTTGTCTGTTCCCCTTCCATGCATCCCTCCCTGCCTCCCTTCAAACCCTCTATCTCGTGGAAATGCGCTATTGACAGATCTTTATCAGCGGCCTCATCCCTGCTCAGGCTCGCTGTTTGCCTTTTGTTTTATTTCACCGACCAAGCGCTGAGCCAGGATGAGGGATTTGTGTGCACTTCCCTCTGTGGCTTTCCAGTCCCTAATGTGAAACTGGTGTATTTGTGGTTGTGACAATCCTTTTCCACTCTACGACTGTTGCTCTGGATGGTAATAACAAGGGTCTGTGCCTGGGGGACAACACAGTGTGGTCAGGGTTGGCCGCAGATGGTTGTGTCTGTGGAGGATATAAACAGCGGAAATGTCAAAACAACCCTTGGACAAGTAAAGGCAGAGGTAGTGAAATGCAGAGAAAGTGAGACATGAGGGCGGTAGACAATGTGCCAATGAGCTCGAGCCACAGACACAAAGAAGAAGAAGAAGACTGCTAAATATAGACAGCATGTAGAAGACATGTAAAACTGCCCCCTTGTCCTTCATGGTGTGATTATATGCTTATGGTGAGTGGAAAGTATGTTGAGCAGTATATAAAACACAAGGCAGGAGGTGTCACCTTTCCTCCCTCTGGGCTTGGGACAAACAAGCTGAATGAGTCTCGACAGAGGACTTAAAAACTACTACAGAACCCATAAAGCTCAGCGATCCAGGCTTCTCAAATTCGGACAAAACACGTCATTAAGAACAAAAAGTGATAATCTCTACTGGCAGCAAGTACAGGAAACCATATGTGAAATTTCATTTTGTCTTTCCTTTTTCTCCATTCCATCTTTAAATTGTTTTATTGAATATAACATGGGAATCCCCGTGGGTATTACTCTTCAACACCATCTAAATAGAAGCCAATTAAAAGACAGTTAGGGCCTGTGTACACGAACAATGTCTTTCTTCTTTCTTTCTTTCTTGAAAATGCAGTTCAGTTTCAGCACTCAGCATCAGGAGCACAGACACGCCATCAGCATCTGCCGTTTTTTGATGATGTGTTTCAGCACCTTAAGTGAAAAATAGTTTAATTCTGGTTTTAGAAAACAGCTGCCAGTGATGGTGTTACTCAAGTGTCACTGTCCACGCAAAATGTTAAAGAGGCGGGACTTCAGATGTTACTTTTGACAATGATATAGAAGCTAACCAGACCCTGTTTTGGGAAGGTGCAAACTTCAGGGGTAAGGCTACTAATTCCTGGACGATGTAACAAATGTATTGTAATACAATATGAAAAACAACAGACAAACAAAAAAACAAATACTTTGCTTACAGAGCATTTAAAAAACAGCCTGAATAGCCACTACTGTGGGAAGGCATAGTGCTGTGAGGCAACTTTTGTGAGCTGGTAATGGTAAGCTGTGGGGAGGGGCACTGTGATGTTGCAAGTGAGGCTGCTTGTGGACACAGGCCCTTAAGCGGTTTTAGCCAACAACTCTACTGCACTCACAAAGTAATTCCTGAAAACTTGCTAAATTTTTCAGGCTGGGTGGACGGCATGTGCTAACACAGACAGATTTTCATCCTTGACTTTAGTCAGATATCACCAAGAATGAGCAAGGAAGCTGGAGTGAGTGATGTTAATGACATGCTACTTTTAGGGACAAGAAATTGGGACATGTGACAAAAATAAACAATATTTATATATGGTTTTAAGGAGAAGAATCATCTTCAAGACAAAGACAGCAAAAATGTTACACAGCACATCCATCAATTCAAACATAGCTCTGATATGATAGCATAGGTCTCAGCTGATCTGGGGTCCGTTTCACGTAGGTGGTTCAACAAACTCTGAGTTAAATCCTTAACTCTGAGTTGAAGCCACGTCCTGCCCTCTGCGAGTCCCTTTACGCTGCAAAGGAACCAGCTTTGAAAATTTTCAGGAGGCAGAGCTACTGAACATTTTCATGTGAAAGAGGCACAATACTGTTTCCCTTGTTGTCTGACTGTTTTTCTTTTACCATAACAAAAGGGTGCATATCCAAAATTTGGATATGGATTTATCAAACATGTGATTTTGTGTTATTTTTTTCACAGTTGCCTGCTGCCACATTCCCAAATCTCAGCAAACACTGCTGCTTTCTCTATTTTCTAACACTCCCGTGCATTTCTCAGATTTGATAAGGATTACACACTGCGTCTGTTGTGTCCCTTTCCCAACCAAAATCTTGCAGTGAAACAAGATTTGAATAAAACTGCAAGGTGACACAAACTATTGCATCAGTTTTCTATCTGTCTCTCTAGCCTGTTTTCTATCCCTTATACATTCACTCAAAAACACACACTCAAGGTCTCAAGGTGGCATCAGCTGCTTGACCGTCTGTGAATGTCTCCACACAAAGACAGTTTGTCTGTCAATCAACACTTTCCTAATTGGGCAGAGTGTTTCAGCAAACCTCGGTTGCTTATATTTGAGCGTCTTTTCTGTAAAAACAGTCCGCGTCTCAATCTTTGGGTTTGGATTTAATGAGGTGGGGACAAAGAAAGAAAGCTGGACCATGTGCACGGCCTTTGTGCCACTCCTAATGACCGAGCTATTACTACTGTCACAGCACATTATTACCATTTCCATTCTGTGATTTCGATTTTACACTGTGCTCATTAAAAGTGTCACCAGAGAGACTTCACTTCTTAAATCTGAAACAAGCCAACACGTGGTCTTTGAAGGACAGATCTGTTTAATTAGTCAAAAAGAAGGACTTTCCCCTGGGATCAACTTCTAAAAACACACACTTGACCTTTGAAAATTTGGAAAACAATCCAACACCTGTGCCAGGCCTGGGATTAGGTTAATCTGATATCCGAGAAAACAATCATTTCCTTTGATCTTACATCTGTGTGTGGGTGTATGTGTGTGTGCGGCACAAGACCTTCAATTTACACCTCTCAACAGCGTAGCATGCGCATAGGAACCCTGACAAACACACACGCACACTCTGAGTCAGGGGTCATGCTGGCCCATTAACAACCAGTCTTCTGTGACGTTCAGAGAGAAACACTATTATAATATTTATGACTCATTTTCAGAAGCTGCCATGTGAGGAAAAATTAGATAAATGTTTTCTGGGCAAAAGACACATGGATGATAGTGACAGAGGGTCCAGTGATGGATTGTTTTTGTCTGATGAAATGCATCAGTCAAATGCTGGGATTAGATTTCCTCACTGAATCTGACTCATGAACTGCAGCCCATATGTAAAATGGAGGGTCTGCCTCAATGTTCAAAGTGTTGATTCACTCAAATTTGATTTCAGAATGACTTTCTGGACTATTTTCAATCTAGTTAGGGTTTTTAATATAAATGATCATTTTCCAGCCGAATTTTATGATTTAGAGGTTCTTTTATTTTTTGGGACTTTTTTTGGAGTTCACGGTCAGTATTGAATTTGAGATTTTCAGCATTAAGAGAGAGCACTCTGAGGATCTTTAGTTTTATTTAGAGTTTTTTCTGAGTGAAGACTGCATTTCCCATGAGCACCATCGCTCACTGTTGTAAAGATGTAGCTCCTATCAACACATGCATTTGTTGAAGATGCAAATAGATGAAATACAAGCTTCTTTCTGTACAATTTTCTTCATTGAAAACAACTTTTTTTTTTGCAGGAGTGATGAGGTAATGCAGTGATTTATTGTAAACTGTAATGTGCTTTGCAAACTCTGGTTTATTCCCTTTAGTTAGCATATAAACTGAGGACAGACATACCGATTCAGTATTATCCAGCACGGCTCATCTGTTATTGTGTACTCCAGTGTCCCAGTAGGCATTCAAATAACATTAAAATACATATTGAATTTTTAGTTTCAACCACCAGTACTACAAAAAAAATCCTACTTGTTAACTTACCTCTAACTACCAAACTTTACTGGCAAAAGTTTCTCTGTGACAGAGCTCTGCTGCTGAAGTGAGTAATGCTCCTCAAGCAGAAGATTTCTAGTCATGCGAAGTCATTTCCACCCACACACCACCTGAAAAACCAGTCTAGTTTATTTTGGAGGCCCAAGCCCAACAATATAATTTGATATTTCATACAAAAAACAGCACACTTCTGATTATAATCACTGTCCTCTTCTGGACTAAATTCTGTTGAGAACAATAGAGGGCCTTTCCAAAATTCCCAGAACAAACCAGCACTTTAGTTTGAGTGTGCATAATTTAGTCTGTTTAAGAAACTAATTTTATGCAGATTGCACCACACTGAGCCTCATCTGCATTGCATGGCACACAGAGGTCAGCTCACAGCAGCTTTAATTTGTCACAGATGTGTAAAGCAACCTTTCTTGCCTTATATCTACCTGTTAGTTCAATTTGACTTCTATCTTGTTATTTACAGGAATTAAACATATTGACTCTCTTCATTCTAGCTCTAAAGGATGAACCAACTCAAACCCTTGAACCCTAAAGCTCCTCATTCAAAAGAAGCAGCAGCCACTTGGAGATCTCTTGCAGCAAAATCTGAGGAGCTGTCAGAGGAACAAAAGGTGTTTCCACTCAGGTGGTGGAGCACAACTTCAGTGTAAACATTTCCTGTCAACTGCGCTCTTTCTCTTGTACAAGTGCTTGTCCATCATTTTAACCCAACCCTCCTTCACTGTCTCCTGCATAATCATCACGGTGTGGAGTGATCTGAGCACACAATCAGGATCTGCTAAGAGCATCCATTTAGGACTCTCTGTTCACAAACACACAGAAAAGTCGCACACAAAACTACAGCTACACACCTTCAGGTCAGTGTGGTGACGGTTGGAGTGTTGGAGCTGTGTCCATCACCGGGGATATAGTCTGTCACCGTCATAATAGGATGGGGATTTAAGCCTATTCCTGCGAGAGTGAAAGACAACTGCGCTGGAGGAGTCTTATTTAAGCGTTTACATTTTCTGCAGGCATTTTTTGATGAAGACAAATTATCCTTTTCCAGCGGGCACTGAAACAGCAATTTGGGTTGACAATGAGGCCGATCAAGCCAGTGTGAAGATATAAATACAGGGTACACTGGAAACATAATTCACTGTCATGGCAGGCATATTGTTCTGGGTTATATTCGGTAGTAGTTTGAGCACAGTGAATGAGCACAGGCCAAGAGAGGATCAGGCTGCAAAAATAACTGTTTTTGAAAGGAAGCTTAAAATAATCACCCATTTTATCACTTTCTCATAGAGGAGCCCTATTTTTAGACACAGACCTTATTTATTTCATTTTTGAGGACCTGAAAAGAAAAGCAAAGCAGACAGTTTCAGAGATTCAACTAATAGATAGAAGGTAGATAGACGTGTCACATGGCTGTGTGTAAAGGGAAATTAGTTGCATAGACTATTATGGACATTTTAAAGAGATATCCCAGACCTTGATAGTTATTTAATTCTGAGGAGCATATTACACTCTTTTAGCTTGTTCTTTGTTTTACTATTTTATCTTTTTAAGGGTTTCATATTGAGTGTGATCCAGATGTTTGAAAAAGGAGGCAGGAAAAGCATTATCATGACTTCATGCCACTAAGCCTTAAACCAGCTCTTTGACTCTCAGCTTCTCCTGCAAAGATCTAACCCTAACCCTAACCCAAACGCTTTGATTTTTCAGCCACTTAACTAAGTTCTCTTTTTGTAATTTGGTAATAGCACTTGCTTTGACTTTAGCCTTTAACTTTTGCCTGCATGTCTTGCATTTCAAGTCTCAATTTAGAAGAAGTTTTTTGCACTCCCAAATTGGCCTCAGTTCCCACTCGGTTGTGATGGTTAGGATGAGGAAAATTTAATTTTTTTCAGACACAAAGAAATGTACAGGACAACTCAAGATTCAGGAGACACAATCTCTGTACATTTTTTATGCTAGAATCATTTCATGTGCTGAACTGTTTGAGAAAAGTGACTGAAAAGTTGAGTCTACCGTGTACAGCTACTCATGACTTCCCTTCAGGGCAGTTAAAGTCTGGTGAACATTACACTGTGGCATCAGAGGAAAATGAGTCTTGTTCCAGTCTGTTATTATGGTAATGGTTCCATGCCAGACAGATGTCACTGTGAGTGAGACAGGCTATGATGAGTGGGCTGCAGCAGTGTCATGAGTGGCATTGTCTAAGAGTTGTGAGTCACTCTGCAGACTGTTTCCTCTGTCATACTCAGCCATCTGACTGGCTCCTTTGGCCAAAAAGGAGATGTCAGCAACATAGTAATTGGCCGGAGGGGAGAGGAGTGTGTGTTTGTGGGTGAAACTTCGGGGAGAGAACAAAAGACAATGGGAGAAACATGGTGATTGGGTATGGAATGAATGTGAGTGCTATTATTTGGTGAAGCTTCCTTATGATTACTCTGCATAAAACATGGATGTAGTCTCAGTGTCATCACCCATTGTCTCCAAAGAGAGGTTATAAAGCCAAACTCTCACCATCTTATGAGTATTGTCTCTACCTAACTTTTGATTTATTAGGCATGGCGATGGAGCTTGAATGGGCCTCAGGCCGCCTAGCAAAGAGCTGCTCATGTCAGTCAACACAACATGCCCCCAATTATGCAAATATGCATAACTCTTAGCTGTCATTTAATTAAATGAATGAACTGGGAAAAAAATCCCCCGTACAGTTGACATGACAGGGCTCGACAGTGCAACCGTTTCACTTGCATTTGCGATTAAAAATAGATGTGTGCGAATTGTAAAATGTATCTTGGGGTACATGTACGGATAAAAAAATTAGCTGAGGGAACAAATGTTTTTTCATGTAAATACCGCGTTGAAGTTAGTTTTAGGTTAGATATTCCGCAGACATTCACTGCTGATCTACGGGTGTCTTTGCGTGGTAGTAGCGTGGTTAAATCTACTCGGCATCCCTGCTGTCAACATCGGGTGTTGAATAAGGGACCATCAATAAATTACCGGTTGATGTTCTCAGAAAAGGCTGTTTTCTTTCAATAATTTCCATGTCATGTGATCAATTGATCTAAAATTGATTTTAAATAATAGTACTAAGGTCAGAAAATAAGACACACCTCTTTGTTTCCCTAATTTGTCCTCTAAAAATTTTTGTGTTAAATTTAAAGGCAAACTTTGAACACTTTCTTTAATAGCTTCAATGTCATGTGACCAATTGACCTAAAAATTGATTTTAAATAATTGTACTTATGTGAACTTAGGAGCACATGTGCTCCTTGTGAAAAAGGTTAATGTCAAGCCCTGCATGGGTAGAAAATTAGCTGTCATGGCTTTAGTTGTTTACTGCAAACATGTTAGCCTAGTGTCGCCAGGCTCATCCACCAATTTCAGATCATATTGGCAGTCCAGATCAGGGTAGAGGTGCTATTTTTATTAACTTTTCTTCATCACTAAATCAAAAAACAGTGTAATTTAATTTATTTGTGAACTTGCTGCAGACTGCCCAGCTGCTGAAAATGTCCAACACTGATATCAAATATGGAATAAGTAGGAGCAAACACTCATAAATACACGAAAAGCAGAAGTCTTTTTTAATAAAGTGTAATTTCACTTCTCCATGATCAAATTCAACTTACTTCATCAATGCCAATCCCCTGATGGATATCTGTGGTTGTTAATAATGAAATATAAAACACACTGAGTGCAATATATCACAGAACCAAATTGGAAACACAACCAGGTCTGACAGTCTGTACAGATTTATGTTGGGTTCATGTTCTGGGGGTTTACACCCTTTTGCCTCAGCACAAACCACAGCTGTAATAACCACACTATGGTCCAAACCCTCAGGCAGTCAGTACCACTTCAAGTGTGGTTGGAAAGTAACATGAATTATATAAGATGAGCTCTTTTGGATGTGCAATAATAGTACAAGGAAAAAGTGCGCTAAAATGATGTCATTCTTGCAGGATGTCATAATGATTACAAAGAGTAATAAATTAAAACAAAACAAAGGGTGGGGTTGTATTGTTTTGTCTTGCTCAATGGAGGACAAGATCCAGCGCCTGATACTTGGTTCGTTCTGGTCTTTGTTAAGCTCATGGCCTGTCCACCAGCTGAGGCCAAACAATCCACACCCTCAGCCTGTGTCTGGGAGCATTGACTCGAGCTGGTTTTAATGCTGGTGGTGGGAGGAGGGCGAGAGTGTGGGTCAGCTTTCTCCCTCCACGCTACAGTAACTTGTGCTTTTTGACACGT